TCTTTAAAATTACTACCGAAAGCCGCCTCCCAAAAACGCTACCCAAAATTCCAATGCTGTTACCCGAAGCTGCCTCAAAGGTGGTCCGGAAAGCTGTCCAAAGCTGCTCCACAAAGCTGCTGCCCAAAGCTGTTCCCTGGCTCTGCTCCCCAAAGTTGTGCCCCAAAGTTGTTCTCCAAAGCTGTTGCCCTAAAGCTGCGATTCTGCAAACCTGTTCACCAAAATGGCTCCCCAAAGCCATTCTGCAAAGCGGCTCCTAAAAGCTGCGCCCCAAACTTGCTACCAAAAGTTACTGTCCAAAGTTATAGCCCCAAAGCTGCAACTCTTCAAACCTATACCCCCAAATGGCTCCCCAAAGCTATTCTGCAAAGCGGCTCCCGAAAGCTGCTCCCGAAAGTTGCTATTGAAAGCTGCTCCCCGAAGTTGTTTGTAAAATTGCCCCGGAAAGTTCCTATTCTTCAAAGCAATTGTTCCTGAAAGTTGCTCCGGACAGCTTGCCAAAGCTGCTCCCCAAAGCGATTCCCCGAAGCTGCTTCCCAATGTTGTTCTCCAAAGCAACTCTGTAAAGCGGTTGCCCCAAAGCGGCTAAGCTTCAAACCAAAGCTAGTCTCCAAAGCGACTCCCGAAAGCTGCTCCCCAAAGTTGCTGCCGAAAGCTGCTCCCCAAAGTTGCGTTCACAAAGGTGCTCCCCAGAGCTGAAATTTTTCAAAGTTGCCGTGCAAAGCTGCTTCTCAAAATTCCTCCCCAAAATTGTTTCCCTGCGTTGCTCCACAAAATTGTGCCCGAAACTGTTCTCCAAAATTGTTGCCCCAAAGCTGCGGAAAGCTGCTCCCCAAAATTGCTGCCGAAAATTACTCCCCAAAGTTGCGTTCTAAAAGCTATTCCCCAAAGGTGCTCCCCAAAGCTTCGGTTCTTCAAAGCTGCCGTGCAAAGCTGCTCCTCAAAGCTACTCCTCAAAGCTGCTCCCTAAAGTTGCTCCCCAAAGTTGTTCCCCTGCGCTGCTCCACAAAAGTTGTGCCCAAAGCTGTTCTCCAAAGCTATTGCCCGAAAGCTGCGATTCTGCAACCCTGTTTACCAAAACGTCTTCCCAAAGCCATTCTGCAAAGCGGCTCCCGAAAGTTGCGCCCCAAAGTTGCTAAGTCTGCCCCCGAAAATTGCTTCCAAAAGCAGCTTCTAAAAATTGTTTTCTAAAGCTACTCCCCAAAATTGTCGTTCTTTAAAGTAATTGTCCGTCAATGTTGCTGCAATGCCGCAAAATTGTTCCCCACAATTGTTTCCCAATTTCAGAAATTTATTTTCCAAAGTACCGCTACAAAGCGGTTACCCCAAAGCGGTTATGCTTCAAACCTGCCAAAGCTATTCTCCAAAGCGACTCCCGAAAGCTGCTCCCCAAAGTTGCTTCCCAAACCTGCGGTTCTTCAAAGCTGCCGTACAAAGCTGCTCCTCAAAGTTGCTCCCTAAAGCTGCTCCCCAAAGCTGTTCCCCTGCGCTGCTCCACAAAGTTGTGCCCAAAGTTGTTCTCCAAAGCTGTTGCCCCAAAGCTGTTGCCCCAAAGTTGCGGAAAAGCTACTCCCCAAAGTTGTTGCTGCCCGAAGCTGCCAGCTGGTCTGGAAAGCTGTCCAAAATTGCTCCCCAAAGCTGCTACCCAAAGCTGCTACCCAAAGCTGCTACCCAAAGCTATTCCCCGTTGCGCCTCAAAGCTGTTCTCCAAAGCTGTTGCCCGAAAGCTGCGATTCTGCAAACCTGTTTGCCAAAACGGCTCCCCAAAGCTATTCTGCAAAGCGGCTCCCGAAAGCTGCTCCCGAAAGTTGCTACTGAAAGCTGCTCCCCGAAGTTGTTTGTAAAGCTGCCCCCGAAAGATGTTATTCTTCAAAGTAATTGTTCCTGAAAGTTGTTCCGGACAATTTGCCAAAGCTGCTTGCGCCTCAAAGCTGTTCTCCAAAGCTGTTGCCCGAAAGCTGCGATTCTGCAAACCTGTTTGCCAAAACGGCTCCCCAAAGCTATTCTGCAGAGCCGAAAGCTGCTCCCGAAAGTTGCTACTGAAAGCTGCTCCCCGAAGTGGTTTGTATTTAGGCAGATTGTAATATTAGTAGTAATAAATTGAGGATATGCCGTTATAGATTGCGGCTTACAATTCTCGGGGCGCAACAGTGAACAGCCATGCGGTCTACACCGAGGGCACCGCCACAGGGTTAATATAACTAAATGTGTAGCCATATGAAAATATGCAACTGGATTGGTTGTGTAATTCATTCCGTTAGCTTAGCGACATTATATCAGCGGCCTTTTTCCAATGCAAACCCAGCGGCACCAAAAAGACATTCGTACCCACGACCGGCAAGCTTGAAATATTTGTAGGCCCTATATAGTGAATTCAAGAGAGCGACAGTCGCATGCGGTAAATTCAAAATAACGAAAATACAAAACGAAAGTTCCCAAAATTTATATTCGTGAAAAGTCCCAAAATTGTGGTAGATTTTTGGGCCCATTCGGCTCGGGGTGAAAGTTCCAAAATAGTGACAGATTTTTGGGAAAATTAGGCTCGGGGTTAAAGTACCAAAATTATGGCGAACTCCGCGCGCGCGCCAAATTCAAAAAATACATGCTCAAACACAACTAAAAAACCTACCGAGCGACACTAAACCAGGGAGGAATCGAACCCCCGACCGACCCTAACCGACCGTACTACATTTGCTCAGTAGAACACTAATTAGGAAAAAAAGAATTTTTTTCCCAAAAAAGTATGATTTTTTTAGAAAAATAAAAAATAATTTTTCCAAAATAATAGTAAAATTCCGACCTCCGAATAAAGGGCCTCAAAAAACACAAATTTAGTTTGTATTCGTACAAACTAAATTTATATTCGCCAATTTTCCCAAAAAAAATAGCAATTTTTTAGGAAAATTAATCTCGGGAAATTATATGTAAATTTTCTATGTAAAATTATATATTATAATATAATAATAATATATAAAATAATATTCCAAAAATATAAATTTATAATATTAATTTAAATAAATAATTAGTATTTAAATTATTTTAAAAAAAATATTTAATTATCGAATTTAAAAATATCCAATAACCAAATAAAAATATAATAAATAAGAAATAAGTAAAATTATTAGAAATAATTTTATATATATAATTATATATATATATATTTATTATATAAAATTATATCGATTTGTTTGATCGGCTCGGAGGATTCAATGTTTCGCAGCTTCGTGCCTTGTTTTGCGCCTGCAATCAAAACAAATAAGATGTTTGCAAGTCGAAATGCCAAATCATTAGGATTCAACCTTGTAGTCACAAGGCCACCCATGCTGCACCCCTCCTGGCGCGCCTCACACATGCTCTGGAGCCTTACAAGGATGCCCCCACTTCGACACATAGATACTTTCTCTCCCAGCAGAACAAGCATCAAGTATGATGCGAAATCTGATTTGTTTCCTTTTTCAAATTGGAAACGGTACCCAAAGTCTCTCAACACATTGCAGATTCATTGCAGCATGCTGTCAGAAGTTTCACGTTTCTCTTCCGAAAAGGCAAGATCTGGTTTCAGGTGCCCCCACATCATTCTTGCGCATCACCTCAATCAATCGGTACCACTTCATGTTGCTGCGTTTCCTGATCGGCCACATGTGGGACCAAGATCAGCTTGGGGGGCCGACCAGCAACAAATGGAATCTCCTGGTGAACGTCAAAATAGCTGGTAAATGGATGTTGTTGATCCCGCCAACAACTATGGCATCATAACTTTCGATACATCAGCCTGTATCCGAGTTTGCTACGGTAGACGGGGGATTCAAAAGACTTTTTATGATCCAACCATGGGTAGGAATTATTTCACCATATTTCACCGTGCCCGAGTTGTTACCCCAAGATATAGCTGGTATAGATTGGTATACTCTACAGCTTCAACCTATGAGCCCTGATAGCATCCCAGATGTATTTTGAACCATCCCCGGATGTGAATGGATCCTAAGAATGACCAGCCGGCTGGTCTAAACAGCTACCCTACCCTAGACGATTTCCCAATTCGGCCAGGTGATATGGCATTTCCCAGCCATACCCAGCCTGTAGGGAGCTATGAGCACCACATCGCCCAACTTGGAGAGCTCATACTCATCGTGGAAGTGCTTCTTTTTGGAGCGCTGGCCATTGAAGCGACGGCCAGTAGCGGTCGGGTATGGGATGGGTCAAGGGACAGCTTGAAGGGAGATCATTTCTGGGGTGAAGAGACAGAAACCATGATAGAAATCAGTCAGTTATTATTTTGTGAAGGATACTCTGTAAAATCGTGGAAGCCATCTGAAATTCCGAAATCCCTAGGATCTCCCAACACTTCGGCTGGCAGTCTAGTGGCCAGTGAAGGACCCAGCAGTCAGCCAGCTGTTGACCCTGCACCTTGTACCACCCGCCATACTTGGCATTGAAGAGGTAGTACTCAATCAAAGCCACCCGGGTCTTCTTTTGCTGGCGCATTTTGTGAGGAAGACACTTCCGGAAAAGCTTTGAGATCATTCAACCCTCATGGAAAAATGATGCTGTTCACGCTGACTAGCAGGTCAGTCATTGAGTCCCACCAGAGTAGATTGCAACATCTCAGCATCTCATAGGTGTATTAGAATGTTATTGAAATTCCTGGAAACTCACTCCGCATTGCCAAGACAACTTCGGCAAAGGCCAACCTTGTCAGAAACAACATAGCCGATCTTCATGTGGCTGTACGTTGGTCGCAGCCTTGGCGGCAAAACACTGGGCTTCTCCAAGTTCTTCACATCATTGTCCTAGAAAATCAGACCAGGTGTACATCTAACTCTTTTCAAATCTGAATCTAAACCATGAAGCGGAGTTAAAAGAAAAGCCTTGGCCAAGTAGTCCACTACCAGTGGAGTCGGATCATCCCCAAGGTGCCGGGCCGAAAACCTTCTTCCTTTGCAGACTCAACCAGCTCCTTTCAATGTGCAAACTGGGAGGTGTTATGGGAAGATCATGGAACTAAATGATGCTTTTTTCAGCTTTGATTACCGGAGGGTAGTTATAAAACCCAATAAATGACTGACAAAACCCACCCAAATGGCTTCTAAAAACCGAGAAAATTAGCCATCAAGCCTCCCCAACAGGTGGGAAAAAACCGCGTGTCATCTCCTCCCCCAAATGGTTCCTGAAACTCCAATAAGTTGCTCATCAGCTCTGCAAACGGCTCATAAAACCCGCTAAATCGTTGACTTTGGCTCAGCCTTGCTGTGGGGAAAAAAGATTTGGATTTGAACTCGTAAAATCGTCAACGGAGCCAAGGCTAACCCCCCAGGTCCTCAGGCACTGTAGGCTCGACCCACCTCCAATAGACCTTTCTGGATTGAGCGAAATGGAGGAAAATTTAAGGGGTAAAACTGGCAAAACTATAAAAGCTGGACCCACCAAGTCCCACCTTGCAAGACCGAATCGTGCTTCCAGTACCATCAATGGCTATGTGTCAAACCCCATTTTTAAAAAAAGAAAAAACACGCTGGCACATGGATTTTCATCCAAAACAAAATATAACATGTATACATATATATAATTATATATATATATGTAATATTATATATATATATATATAATGTATATTTATATACACTATGTTTCAGGTTTTAAGATTTTTAAGACCCATCCCTCCAGATGGGGAAAATCACAGGCCAGGCTTCCCAGCACTGCGTGCCGTGGCCGAGTCTACGGCAGTGCCCCGCGCCAGGAGCCCATGAGTTCCGGTGGGAGCCTGGTGGAGAAATCCCCAAAGGATCGCCATGAAACTGATCCAAACATGTTGGGCGTGGGGATATGATTGGGGATATAACCAACAAGACCTGAAAACTATCGTAGGAAAATGTTGTTGAAAAAACCAACAATAAAATTGGAAAAATATGGCAAAATGGTGATATAATAGGGATGTAACCAACCATTTGTTGATTTGGGTGTGTCCAAAAATGGAGTATGCCCCCACATAGCCATTTTAAATGGGGAACATCGTGATCAACTGGTCAACCATCACATTTAGGGGTGTCATCACTCCTATGATCCTGATTGCTAGGCACATTGCCGGCCACTTCCACTCATCCTTTGAGAAACCGAAGAAACACATTGGCTGCAAACACTACTGTAACACGTCTGTCTGCTGTCCATGTGTGCTAAGTCTACCCTAAAGGTGTTTCATTTTGAATAAGTGCATAGGTCTTGCCGAACTCGGTTTGTTCACCACCTAAACAACACAAGTGTGTCATCCATCTACTTGTATTTGTAGGGATATTCCCATACACTTTCCATGATCATCGACTTCCACCACAAGATACCATAGACTTCCCATACCCATAGTGGGCCAAAAACACAAACAGGACTTCCCACTTTTCCCAGTCGTGGCTCCCAGGCCGAAACAAAGGACAGGAGCCCCTCTGAAAATATGCTCTGGGCCACAACGAGCAGGACAGCTCCTGGAGAGGCGGAAACTGGAAAGCCCCAAAACCAGAGAAATAGATCTATACATCTACTACAGTACATCATATTATACAAATCAAATACATATATATATATAATATCTACCAAATACCTAGAACTAACTAGAGCTGATACAAAAATAGAACCAAAAAACGAAGATGATGAAGATGTTCCAGCTGACTTCCCCCCCCTTTTTAGCCCGTAAAAAGGCACTCCTGCGGCCAAGAAATGGCGGCCACAGAGGCCTCTTTGTTGGTGAGGCGTCCACATCGGCCTGCTGCATCCCTGGACCTTCTTGTTGCATCCAATCATTCGGAAACATTCCTGCTGATAACCCATAGTAAACATTAGGAAATGTATGTCATGTAAATATGCAAGCAACGTCAATTGCTGATATCTCTATGTACATATATATATATAATACATTTATGATGCTAAACAATAGTAAATACCACTTACCAGTAGTACCCGCACGAGGCGGGGCGGAAGTTGCCTTAAAGATATATATAAGACCTTTCTCATCTATAGAACTTGCCTGCGCCGTGCGCCAGCCAAGCCGGTGCGTGCGTGCACTCTGCGGAACTGATGTCTTGTTTCACATGTCACATTTGAAGCTCCATTTCGCACTTCGCACTTCTCACTGCAGTCTTCACACTCCACACTACACACTTCACACTCCACACTTCACACTGCACTCTTAAGACTCCACACTTCACAATTCACACTCCACACTTCACACTCCGCACTTCACACGTCACACTGCACTCTTCGCACTCCAAACTTCACACTTCACAGTCCACACTTCACACTTCACAGTCCACACTTCTCACTTCTCACTGTTTTCTTCACACTCCAAACTTCACACTTCACACTGCACCCTTCACGCCCCACACTTCACACTGCACTCTTCACACTCCACACTTCATCTCATCTTGAGCCCTTGGCCTTATCCCAGCTCATCTCTTCTCATCTCATCTCTTCTCATATGTCATCTAAGCTTTCATGAATCACTTCCCAGTACTACTAATCACTGTCGCAGCCTTGATGCACCCACTCCAATACGATTTACGATCTTCAGCTGCAAAAGACAATAGTATTACGCATGCAGCCGCTGCTCCAAGCAACCCTGACGCAGCCATCCCAATGCGATCTGCAAAGACTGAGTTGCAAAACACAATAGAACTACGCGCAACGGCGTCGGAAATTGCAGCTCCAAAACCGGATCTCGACGCCAAAGCGACAAAAAGACGATTTTGAAGCGCTTTTTAAAAGGAATGTTTAAAGGAAAATTACTAGCGCCAAAGTTGAGAAAATCTGCTGACAAATCACTATCGCAGCGTGGATGCAGCCATTCCAATACGATTTACGATGCTCAGCTGCAAAAGGCAATAGTATTACGCATGCAGCCACTTTACACGGAAAAACACAAGGTTTCGTGCTCCGGCTTCCTCCCCAAAACATAGCCCATGCAACATCATGCAGCCATTCCAATGCGATCTGCAACCGGAGATTCCAAAACACACTATAACTACGCACACACAAGCACACCCAAAGCAGCTTGAAGCCACCGTGACACTGCGGCAAAAAAAAAACGATAAACCGACCGCAGCCGCAACCGTCGCACACACGAGGAACCTTTCATCGTCGCCTGCAGCCACTTTACACGGAAAAACACAAGGTTTCGTGCTCCGGCTTCCTCCCCAAAACATAACCCATGCAACATTCATGCAGCCATTCCAATGCGATCTGCAACCACAGCTTCAAAAACCGCATAGAACTACGCACACAGGAACAACCACTCGTTGCAAAACACATAGGAGGAACAATTCGCGCATGAAACGACCCCAGCCGCACCCGCCGCACAGATGAGGTACCTTTCATCGCCGGCTGCAGCCACGTTACACGGAAAAACACAAGGTTTCGTGCTCCGGCTTCCTCCCCAAAACATATCCCATGCAACATTCATGCAGCCATTCCAATGCGATCATGCAACCAGAGATTCAAGAACCGCATAGCACTACGCACACAGGAACAACCACTCGTTGCAAAACACATAGGAGGAACAATTCGCGCATGAAACGACTCCAGCCGCACCCGCCGCACAGACGAGGTACCTTTCTTCGCCGGCTGCAGCCACTGTACACGGAAAAACACAAGGTTTCGTGCTCCGGCTTCCTCCCCAAAACATAGCCCATGCAACATTCATGCAGCCATTCCAATGCGATCATGCAACCAGAGATTCAAGAACCGCATAGATTTACGCACACCGGAACAACCACTCGTTGCAAAACACATAGGAGGAACAATTCGCGCATGAAACGACCCCAGCCGCACCCGCCGCACAGACGAGGTACCTTTCTTCGCCGGCTGCAGCCACTTTACGCGGAAAAACACAAGGTTTCGTGCTCCGGCTTCGTCCCCAAAACATAACCCATGCAACATTCATGCAGCCATTCCAATGCGATCTGCAACCACAGCTTCAAGAACCGCATAGAACTACGCACACAGGAACAACCACTCGTTGCAAAACACATAGGAGGAACAATTCGCGACAGAAACGACCCCAGCCGCACCCGCCGCACAGAACCTTTCATCGCCGGCTGCAGCCACTTTACACGGAAAAACACAAGGTTTCGTGCTCCGGCTTCCTTCCCAAAACATAGCCCATGCAACATTCATGCAGCCATTCCAATGCGATCTGCAACCACAGCTTCAAGAACCGCATAGCACTACGCACACAGGAACAACCACTCGTTGCAAAACACATAGGAGGAACAATTCGCGACAGAAACGACCCCAGCCGCACCCGCCGCACAGACGCGGTACCTTTCATCGCCGGCTGCAGCCACTTTACACGGAAAAACACAAGGTTTCGTGCTCCGGCTTCCTCCCCAAAACATATCCCATGCAACATTCATGCAGCCATTCCAATGCGATCATGCACCAGAGATTCAAGAACCGCATAGAACTACGCACACAGGAACAACCACTCGTTGCAAAACACATATCATAGGAGGAACAATTCGCGCATGAAACGACCCCAGCCGCACCCGCCGCACAGACGAGGTACCTTTCATCGCCGGCTGCAGCCACTTTACACGGAAAAACGCAAGGTTTCGTGCTCCGGCTTCCTCCCCAAAACATAGCCCATGCAACACTCATGCAGCCATTCCAATGCGATCTGCAACCACAGCTTCAAGAACCGCATAGAACTACGCACACAGGAACAACCACTCGTTGCAAAACACATAGGAGGAACAATTCGCGCATGAAACGACCCCAGCCGCACCCGTCGCACACACGAGGTACCTTTCATCGTCGCCTGCAGCCACTTTACACGGAAAAACACAAGGTTTCGTGCTCCAGCTTCCTCCCCAACACAAAGCCCATGCAGCCATTCCAATGCGCACCACTTCCCTTCGTCACCACTTCCCTTCTTCACCACTTCCCTTCGTCACCACTCCCCTTCATCATCACTTCCCTTTGCCACCACTTCCCATCGTCACCACTTCCCTCCGTCACCACTTCCCATCGTCACCACTTCCCTTCGTCCACTTCCCATCGTCACCACTTCCCTTCGTCACCACTTCCCTTCGTCACCACTTCCCTTCGTCACCACTTCCCATCGTCACCACTTCCCTTCGTCACCACTTCCCATCGTCACCACTTCCCTTCGTCACCACTTCCTTCGTCACCACTTCCCTTCGTCACCACTTCCCTTCGTCACCACTTCCCTTCGTCACCACTTCCCATCGTCACCACTTCCCTTCGTCACCACTTCCCATCGTCACCACTTCCCTTCGTCACCACTTCCCTTCGTCACCACTTCCCTTCGTCACCACTTCCCTTCGTCACCACTTCACCCTGTACTCTCACACCACCCTTCATGTAAAGTCTCACACCACCCTTCATCAAGGTCAAGTCTCAATGTGATGTATTGTTATGTCATGTAAAGTCTCACACCACCCTTCATCAAGGTCAAGTCTCAATGTGATGTATTGGTCAAGTCTCAATGTGATGTATTGTTATGTCATGTAAAGTCTCACACCACCCTTCATCAAGGTCAAGTCTCAATCGCGCACCACCCTTCATCATTTCAAGTCTCAGAATTCTATTTGTCCGTAACACGGAAGTATTGCTTCCCAACTTCCTTTGATGATAGTAATATCTGTATCATCTGTTGGGTAGTGGATCCATCTTGAATAACAAAAAATGGGGGATGTCCAAGCCCTTGAACCACCCCCCCCCAAGGGGGCCCAAGGGGGTCACCAGGCCTGACGTCTTGCCGCCGCGCGGAAAGACTTGAGCCAGACTGGTTGATCGATTTCTTGATGATTTTTGTTCATCAAATTTGGCATGACTCCTGCGGCCATTTTCCAAAGGTGTCTCAGGACCCTATCCCTCCTAAGCTCTTAAACCTAGGCAAATCTTCCTTAAGCAAACCGCGTCTGCGGTGTGTCTTTACGTAGAGATGGATATTGGTCAAGATCCTCATGCCCTGATGTTCACACCCAAATAGCTGGTAAATGTATGCTGATCTCCCCATTCAGATCGAACAAATTTAGGATTCTGCCAACCTGCCCAGCAAATCCCCCGGGTTTTTTTTCTTGCTCTCCGCATCACGGAATGTCAAACGAAGCGGTCCACTGGAAGCCGATGCTGGTGTAAGAGTGATGCCTGCGGACATGTCATCATGTCCTTTCAACCAACTCTCAGATATTATATATATATACATACATACATGCAGTACATACATTACATTACATTACATTAAATTACATTACTTTACATTACATTACATTACATTAAATTACATTACATGACATTACATTACATTACATTAAATTACATTACATTACATATACATATATATATATGTGTATATGTATACGTGTATATGTATATATATACACATACATATGTATATATATATATAATATGTAAATGACCCTTGTTCTGGGGTGGTATAAGCGCATAGGATTGCAGTATAGCTTGATGTCATCAGCGACTGGAGCATCCTAGATTCACAGACTTCGCAGCAGCTGAAACTCTCATCTGACACTGGACAAAGTTTGGCGTAACAGGCAATAGTCAAATAGAAATAACCTGCAAACACCGTACATAAACATTACATGTATATATATATATATATACGCAATACATATGAGTAGCGGACAAATTTATTTGTGAAATTTAATGCCATTCACAAATTAGGGTCGTCCCCTATCGGTTGTGAGGAGCAAAACTAACATCTTGCATTGCAATAATTTTGTGCATTACTCATATATATATATACTTAACATCTTACATCATGTATGGCTATGGGTCAAAACCCTTCAAAACCCTCGTGAGTCGAGTCATGTTCATCCCCTCAAAAAAATGATCGAATATTGGCTCAGCCGCCCATAGGAATGCTGACCATCCATGACCATCCCACAAAAAATCATGAAATCCTAGTTCTCCTCATTACCCTCTGGTAAACGTTTACATGACTAATACTTAAAAAGCTATGGAAAATCACCATGTTTCATGGGAAAATCCACAACAAAACATGGTAAAAACCCACAGTTTTGCTGGTAAAATTACTGTTCAACCTCTCAGACATCGGATCCCAGAAACCGACCGGTTTAGCCGCCCACATCACGTGGCAAGCACGGCAACCCGCTGCTATGGGATGGGCCATTGCAATCCATTGGAAGCGTGGAAGCACAACAAATAGACAATTTGTTTATTGCCCCACATAATGGGGTAGTTATGACATATTATGACATGTTAGAACATATCAGAAAGCGCCATGACCAAGAGTTCAATCATTCGATTATGGGGCTTACTACTGGGGTTCGTATGGGGCTTATTCTCAACGAACCCAATCAAGTGGCAAACCCAATCATAAAGTCCAATTTGGGACTGCTTATCGTACATCTTGGCCTCCACATTAGTGCTTTTGAATATGGATTTTGAATGATTTTTTTTTGCGCCTGGCCCATGCTCTAAGGAGCTTGACAATATTGCGAATTTTCAGGTGTGATTCTCACGACCCGAGAGTCCAAACCGGCTTGTTCAAGCAGGCGCCACAGTCGCCCGGAGAATTCTCCAGAGATTGACAACTTTGAACTGGAAACTACTGGAAACCATGATTCTCACCAGTAAAAATGATCAGTGGGTTCCCCTATTTTGTAGTAAATCTGGTTTCTAAGAGGCAGCAAATTCCTTCTGACCCTTCTCCATGAGTGCCCAAATGTGTATACCATATACCTATATATGTATAAGCACAAATATGAATTATATATATATATGTGTACATATGTACATATAGTACATATGTACATATATATATATTATATTATCAATTAAATTCAACTAATATCATATAAGTATGACGTCAAATTATCACATCCATCCGTCCATTTGCGGCGCCCCCAACGTCGCAAACATCTCCGAAGGATCCGCCGAAACGCGCAAACCGGCGCCGCGAAGTTCGGCCGTCGAAACGCCATGGCGGCCGTGCGCCCGCCAGAGGTCTCGCTTTACACAATGCAGATGATCCCTGAGACAGAGACATGGAAAAGTCATGGAAAAGTCATGGAAATCCTGGGGAAAAATGAGAAAAAATACATGTATCCAACTTATCCAACCTTAGGGGGAGCACCATGGTGAGATGCTATGTTTAATTAGTTTAATTGTGTTTATAGGTAGAGACAGGTTCCTCTATGGCCAAGAAGAAAGAAGTTACCACCCGCAGGCACCACAATCTCATTGAACCGACACAGTATTTAAGGTTTCTTTTAGACTAGGAAGGTTGATGTGGGTTTCTCGCTTTGGTTTCAAAGAACTTTGGGGTGGCATCCACTTGGCAGAATCATACCCTTTAAGCCCAGGTGAATCATCTGGCAAATGACAAACCTGTGCCCCAATGTGAGCAGTTCAAGTGTAACGCCCAGCGACTGTCCTGTAGAATGTTTTGTGTTTCCACGATCTCTGTCCCACGGACCTGTGCTCCCAGGCGTTTTTTTTTCGACGCGTTGATCATTTCGTCAACGCGGCTCACATGATGCTGCAATTCGGCGGTTTTGCATTGCTACAAGCAAAGCAGGACGGGTTCCTTAGCCGCTCTGTCGGGGGTTGAGTACCTTCCTCTCAGGATCCAACTGAAACACTTTCTCTGATCCAAATGAAGGAGCATTTATTTCTGAAAATGTGCACGTATAACATCACATAACCCCAAAATGACAAAAGAGTTGGAATGTATAAACATGCATAAACATTGATAAAACATTACCAAAAATTGGACTTTGGGAGGTATAGATAAACTAAACATTGATAAACTATGCAGCTATGTGATTGTGAAATTCCCTGATGTTCAGGCCCAAAATCGCCCAACTGGCCCAACTGGCTGGTCCTGGTCTCCCATCCTTCCGGTCACCTAAGCGTCTCATCCTGTCGCGAAGCAAAGTTCCAGCTCATCCTGGGGAGATCGGTGAAACACGCGCGGCATGTATTTAGGGTATGTAAAAAGTGAGGTTATATATTTTTTGTTATTACTATTCTTACCATCATTATCGTTATTGCTACTATTACTATCATTATTATATCTAAATATATGTATATATAATTAATACATACAAATTTATATATATATACCATTACTCTTATTATTATTATCACTATAAATTTGTTGTTATTTTTTACTATTACATACTATTACTATTGATATTCTGACGCAGATGCGCTCAAAAGGTAGGAAAGTCGCAAAACACTGCGTTTTTCCAATGACTTGTGGTTCCGGAGGGTCGAAAAGCAGGCTTGCTAAAGCAGCGTGCGCGGAGCCATCTGATGAGAGATGAAAAGTTGCACGCCGTTGTGGCGCGAAGCACATATGGAAGTCAAAAGCGTGAAAAACTGACGGGTTTGGAGCACATTTGGAAGTTGAGATGTCGAAAAAGTGCACGCCGTTGTGGCGCGAAGCACATTTCGAATTCAAAATGTACAAAACACGTCAGCCTCGGCGCACTTTTGGAAGTTGAGATGTCGAAAAAGTGCACGCCGTTCTGGCCCGAAGCACATGTCCATGTCAAAAGTTGAAAAAACTGTGGTTTGGAGCACTTTTGGACGTTCGGACACCGTTTCGCGTGGCCGGCGCAAAGGACTGTGCACCTTGTCAAAAGTGAGCAAAATGCGTAAGTTCTGCAGCAGTTTCATCTACAACAACTACACTACACTGCACTCCGCTACACTACACCTACAACTACAACTACAACTACAACTACATTACACTACACTAATTACATTACACTACCCTACACTAATTACATTACACTACCCTACACTAATTACATTACACTACACTACACATCAGTACACTACAGTAACACTACACTAACACTACACCTACACCTACACCTGCACCTACAACTACAACTACAACTACACTACAAAACACTACACTACACTACATTACACTACACTACACGACACGGCGCGACACTGCACTAAACTACACTACACTATACTACACTACACTATACTACACTGCACTACGCTACAACTACAGCTGAAACTGCAACTACGCTACTTTACACTACACTAGACTAGACTACGCTACACTACCCTACATTACATTACGCTGCACTACACCACCACAAACGCAACTGCAACTACACTACACTAATTACCCTACACCACAACTACAACTCCACTACACTACAACTACAACTACAGCTGCACTACACCGCACTACATCCAGCAGCTGTAGGTGAGGTGACCGACCAGGTGACCACTGCAACCGTGATTCACTACAACCAAGCTCTCCTATAGGTGTCCTATTCTGAAGCTTCCGCCACCGCCTTGGGCGATACTACTGGTATTATATATATATATTATAAGGTTTCGGCTGAGAGAGCCCACGTTCTTAGCCGGTGATCTTAGGGGGACGTGATCCTACCACCCCCGGGCAATTTGGGACCTCCGTTGCCTTTTCGCCTAGCCATCTGCGGCAGCTCTTAACTGGTTCGCCCTGGACTCCGCTTTTGGCAGTGCTCTGCTGGTGGCTGCCCACCCCAGCATCACCTAGTTCTGTGGTCCCGACCACGTAAAACACTCGGGTTTGGGCACGGCTCTCTGGCGTGGATTGGATTTGGCATACTGCGGTTGACATTGTCCTGCAGTTTTACCTCACCTACTTCCTCCAGATTGTCTTGTACATGAACTATCTCCTTTCCTTTTTTGCGGTAATCCTGATTGTCATCGAGAATTACGCCTACAAAGCGGAGGAGGCAAAGAAGACAGAGGGCTGCTGCCCGTTTGCAGTGGCATCTCCACAAGCGTGGCTGGTTGGCACTCAAGAGCCAACAGATTGCGCAAATCCATCAGAGGTTGAGCTCACACCATTCCAAAGACCCTGGATTTTTAGCCCGCCTGAGAAGAGCGATGGCTACTACAACCAAAGAACCATGGCGATGTGTTTGGTGCAAGCGCCTCAACAAGCAGCAAGCGGCATTTTGCGGCTCATGCTATACCGCATGGGACAAGTGTGTAGATATCCACTATGCCCATGGACAAAAGGGAACGAGTTCGCAACCCAGTGCCCCTGCGAGATCGAAGTCAAGAAAGCAGTGGCAACAACAGGGAGATTGGGAAGATTGGGGCTATTCACCAAGAAGGCGTGGGAGTGCCTCACAATACCGATCAACCGAATCGCCGCGCAAGCGGCCAAAAACTCCGAAGAAGAAGCAAGCCAAGGAAAGTTATGGTGCACCGATGTTGGATCCACCATGGCAACCTGCAGCTTCGACAGCATTGCCGCCAACACCAGAACCTGCTGTGCCGACAGCAGAAGTGATTCTGCTTCAACAGCTGGTGCAAGCCTTGGAGACTACCGACAACACAGTCTCCGACGAAGTGCAAACGGTTATCAACAAAACCAAGAAAGTGCCAATGATGGAACCATCGGTCTCAGCCAAGAGTGTGCGACAGGCCTTCGACAAATTGGAGAAGAAAAGGAAAAGTCTGCAGCAGGCGCAGCAGGCAAGAGGCAAGCTTCATCAGTCTTGGTTCAACTATACCGAAGAATCCGCAAAGAGATGGCGTTCCTTTGCCGAGGACTTCGCAAAGAAGGATCAAGAGCTGGAGAAGAGAGTCATAGAAGCCAAAGAACTCGTACACGAGGCGAGGCAGAAATACGATGCAGCCAAGGAAGCCAACGACAAGCAAGACGCCGCACTCCTCGATGCAGTGGAAGAGATCTCAGATGGCATGGACGAGGACAACCCGGACAAGATGGCATCGTCGGAAGAGATCCAAGCTGGGATCCAATCCATGCTTACTACGCTAGAGGGCTTCAGACCACGGCCAGTGGAAGAAGCGGCGGAAGCGCATCAGGCCAAAAAGCCAAGGCTCGACACTGTGGCAGAGGACAACATGGACGTTCGTGGTCCTGGATCTGCTGCCTTGCAGCCTTTTCACAAGCCCGGCAAATAGACCGAATGCAGGAGGTTTGTCTTAGGCATATGAATTGCAGCTTTGAGCAAGCTGCATACCCGGAAAATCAGTGGACGCACTCCATCCTTGACGAGCACACGTTTCTCAATGAATGGCGTGCGAACATCAATGGAATCGACTTGGCTTTTGAAGTTTCGCAAATGCTTGGGTCTAGCTTTGCAAAGACTCCCATTCCCAAGTTGACCATGCCGAAGATCGCAAGCAGTTCTCATGTGCAATTTGCAGAGTCAGTTGAGCTCTATGTGGGTCATGAGCATGATTGGCATCTACAATTTTGGCGTCATGAGATCGAAGTTCCAGTTGATCATGCAGACATTTTCCATCCATTGCATTTTCCCTTGAGTGATGAAACTTCCTTCATGGCGACAACGCAGCAGCATCGACCTCGAGCCTTTGGTCCTCACCCGCACGAACACCATGACCTCATGCAAGATGTTGACATTGGAATAGAACCAGGAGAAGAGCTTCCACATGATGATGATATGCCAGCTCCATCGGATGACGACAACAGTGTAACTGCATCAGATGATCCATCTGAGCGTCCGGACTGGTTTGCAACTTTGCTTTTTGCCATTGACTTTCAGACAGTTCCTATGAGGGTTGATTGGAACGACTATGAGTCAATGCATGCAGAGGCAGCACATGAGCTGGGCATACGTCGTCCAGATCTTTTCTATCTACATTTCATGTCAGACATGGACCACAGGACTTAGTAGATGCTGGAGTTGAACCCCTCATTGGGCATCGTCATGGTGACATCAGACCTGGATCGAGCCTTCAATTGATTTTGCTGGATGTTGAGTTTCATGCAGCACAACCTGATGTCCAACCAGAAGTTGTCCGCAGAGTTGTTCTATTTCCTCGGCACATTGGAAGGCTCACCATCTTGCAGCAGCTGGGCCTTGCGGCTTATTGCAGAGAGATGCACCAGTCATGTATCCTTTGGGTCAATGATGCAATCATGTCAAGGTATAGTGCTAGACCAATTGAGCTCAAGCATGGAGACTTTGTGAGAATTGCAGTTCCACCTGGTCATGAGCAAGTCTGCCATATCGGGACCAGATGCGTTGCGAGCGCTTGTCATCAAGGACTTTCTTTACAAGAACTCCATGATCGTCATGCACTGTTCACGCTAGGCTGGTTTGACACGATCATTGACCATCCACTAGTTCCGCTGAGACCAGATGCTGATGACACAGCACTGCTTCAGCAACAGTGGTACATTCTACCACCCTTGCCGCAGCCACCATGGACACTGATCAAACAGAGAGAATGCAGAATCACTGCAACTGATGCTGAGCCTTTTGAACATTTTGAGGAAGATCCAGAAGATGTCTACAGGCATTCCATTCCAACAAGCACGCCAGATCTACCTGGAGGCTTTGTGCCCAGACCGGGCCTTGATGAGCAGCCAGAGTACATCTACAATCTCTTCGAACAACTTGAAGAACATGGTGCAGTTGAGGTTGAAGAAGAAGGCCAAGTACTCTATGTGATTACATGGATGTTACATGATCCCGATTTTTCAGTATGTCGTGACTACCGCACAGTCAGACTGACTTCGGACTTTCAGCATTGGCAACAACAGCTCCTCACTGCATGGCGTGACCAACTTGTAGAAGAAATACCAGTAAATTTCTATCTTGTCTTTCCTCAACCGCCAACCACACGAATGCAACCAGAAGTACTGCCACATGTGATCTTGGTGCAAAGGTATCCTGAAAATCACAGGGTAGCAGTCATTACGCAGATTGACACTAGAAATCCAAGCGATCATTTCAAGCATGTGGCGCTTTTCATGCCGGCCATCACTGGCAAATTTGACATTGTTGCTGCAGTTGGAGAAGTTGATCGATGTTATCCATTCGTCTCTGACCTACAATGCATGACATGGCACGGTGAACAGCAGATTTATGAAGGTGGGCACATTGCCACACATCATGGCATTTCCTTCCTCATCATCCTTCAAGACCTTGGGACCACAGGAACTGAAGTATGGAATGAAAGCGAAACCGATGCCACAAATCTCATGCAGAGTTTCGGAGCCAGCAGCAGTAGACAGAATGAAACGCCACAAGATGGACCATCGCTTGATCCCTCTGCACCGATTTTTCAGCCGGGCAGACCGATTATCAGTGCTATGAATGAGTTCATCCAAGATCTTTACCACCAAGGCAGGCAATGTGACACCACTCAAGATGATTGGTCCTTGCTTGTTGAAACTTGGTTTGTTGATCACGCCAACGGCAGATTGCACTGCACTGAGCCCAGAAAGGTTCGACTTCTGGAAGACTATACGCAGTGGGAGCATTGGCTTGCACAAAGGTGGCATGATCTCAGAATAGATTCCTTGGACCTGGAGTTCAATCTTGTATCACCACACCCTGATGAAGCACATCATGAAGTGAAAGCGCATATCATCCTGATCCAAGCTCCACACCCACAGCTTGTCACCAACTTGCTAACAGTCTATGATGACAGCGCAGCTCTACCGCATTTCAGACTGCGCAATGCCATCACTACGCATGAACATCTGCGTATTGAGCACTTGGCGCAAGGTATTGGGATGTATCAACAATGCTTTCATGAACCCAGAGTCAATGAATGCCAAGCATGGTGTGGACCTCACCAGTTATTTCCAGGACGTCCATTTGCTGCACGCTCCGGATATGCAATACAAATGCAAATCAGACAGAGACACAGGCAGCAGGAAGGAATGATGCTACTGCAGCTTGACAAGCTCATCAGTAATAACCGTGAGCGCCAAACACGTGGGCAGGTGGCTCACACCCACGGGCCACGGGAACAAGAAGAAGATGACGAAGTAGCTGAAGTTTCTTTCACAAGAATCCTGGACCTGCAGCATTCAGGACAGCTACCATCCATCATTGAAGTAGCAGGACTTGCAACCCCTGCTAGTGTCGCTGCGGAGTTGAAAGCATGGGGTCATGACACTGATGCGATCGATTGCTGGCCGCAGCAAGTTTTTGCCTGCAACCTACCGAAAGATGATGACTGTCGTTTGCAGCATTACCTCTTTTGCCGAAGTGAGGTATATGACGACATAGAAGTCTTTGTACACACGCAGATTGGAGACATGCCTGACCAAGCCATCCTGACGTTTCTGTGTCAACTGGACTTTCCACGAGCAGTCACCATCACAAAGGAAACAATACGCACCCAATGGTGCAAGATCGTTTTCAGTCACCAAGAGCCCCAACATGCGAAGCCACAGGTGAAGAGCCCAGGATTGTGGCCTCCGCCTTTTTCGGTTAGAAAACCAGGAGGGGCTCCCTTGATGAACCTTTCTCAAGTTCATGAACTGCAAGGTCGTTGTATCATGAAAACGCTGCTATGCCAAAGCGATGTGCAAGACCTCTTCGCATCTGGAGATGATATTTTGTGCCGTGATTTCACATGCTTTGAGTTGCCAGATCACATCAAGCCTGCCTTCGAGCACTACAACTCGGAGGACACCATGCCAGCATTGGAGACCTTTGATCGCATCCTGATTTTCACAGATGGAACATCTGCACCAGAAGCCAAACGTCTGCCTCCAGACAGAGCGGATGAACTTGGAAAACCTGATGCATGGGCTTTCTTAGTCATTGGCGAGCATGTCCATGAGGGACAGCACAGCTTTCAACCTCTAGGATGGACAGCGCAAGTAGTCAGGTATGACGACAAAGGCACACACTACAATGGAGTCACAAGGATTGGGTCAGATCTGGCCGAGCGCAGTGCTCTCACTTGGGCTGCTTTCTGGCGCCTCTCACAGAATGTCTCTGTAGAGACCATCTTTTGTATTGATTCTGCAGTGACGGGAGGACAAGCTTTTGGAGAACTTGGTGCTGCATATGCGGACGAGTCTTTTCGTTTGCAAAGAGGACTTATTCAAGCCCTTGAAGCTGCACTACCACCAGAACATCTCCACTGGCATCATGTGAGATCGCACACGGGCCTCATTTTCAATGAGTTTGTTGACCTTGCGGCCAAACGTGAAGCTGTGCAAAGCTTTCACCACCCACGCCAAAAGTTGTCAATGCAGAGATGGAAAGACATCATCCCACATTTGTGGTTGACATTTGCAGGTCCACGGTGGGGCATGCCACATTGGAAGAATGGTGGTTTTGAAATTCCTCCACCTCGTTTGCCTCCGCAACAACCACGACAAGAGGAACACCCTCGCAGATTGATCCAGCACAAGCACATCAAGTTTGCAATTAGTCTGGCCACAGCAAATGTTCAATCGCTGTCACGACACCCAGATGGACATGCCAGAAAACTCCACTTTCTGCAGCGTCAAATGAAGGAGTTCAGATTGAACTGCATTGGTGTCCAAGAAGCTCGCACAGAACAAGGAGTTGCTTGCAGCAACAACATCCTGAGACTATGCTCTGGACATCACCAACACCAACTTGGCGTTGAATTGTGGATTGATCTTGATTTGCCCATTGGTCATGACACGAAGCGGCGACCATGCATGCTTCAAAGAGCTGATGTTCAAGTCACACATGCCGACCCACGAAGGCTCTTTGCCAGAATTGAGAATGCCGCATGGACAGCATTGGTTGGTGTCCTTCACGCACCGCATAGTGGTTTTTCAATGGCAGTGCGTGAGGAATGGTGGCACGAAACACAATTGATCATAGATCAATGCAAGACAGCTGACCCCCTCTTCATATTGATGGATGCGAACGCACCTCCAGGTGAAGCAGACGGGCAAATTGTTTTGCGCAAAGGATTTGACACCACCCAAAGCACAAAGTTTCTACGTGAATTTCTGAACACCAACAACATGTGCCTGCCAGCGACTAGCCAGTGCCATGATGGTGAGCAGGGAACATGGCTTGATCTTCGCGGAGAAAAACTGCATTGCATTGACCATGTAGCCATTCCTTCCTCATGGCTTCCTTGTGCCACTCATTCACAAGTTCTCCAAGAATTTGATCTTGCGACAGTGAAAGACGACCACCGCTTGGTTGCGCTCCAACTGCAATGGAGTGACATTGTTGAGATCGTGAAGATACAGGGCAATGCGAGGAAAGCTGTTGACATCGATTTCAAGAGAGTTGATCTCACGGAGATGATCAAGAGCTACCAGCCAGCCCTATGGGAGACTGACATTGAGCAGCATACTGAAGCCTTCAATCAGCACTTGCACCTCACCATGCAATTGGGTGACCAGACCCATGACCACAAGATCAAGAAGCACTACATCGATGAAGAGATTTGGGCTACACGAAAGTGCAAACTGCAACATCGGGCCACATTGAAAGCACTGAAGATGCGTATCATGCGGGATCTGCTCCGCAAATGCTTCCATGGATGGCACGATGGGGAACCAAGGCTGACGCTGATGGAGTTGGCTACACAGCCACTTTGCAATGCTGGAACCTAAAACATTGGATCGCATTTCGCAGGGCGGCCCAACGATTGAAGAAGCAGCTATGTCATGCAAAACAACAAAAGCTGCAATGTGTCATTGCGACAATGCATGCGGAAACACCAGCATCCGACATCCTTCGTCAACTACGAGGCTTTACAGGGCCGACAAACCCGAAGAAACTGAAGCAGAAGACACTTCCCTTGGTGCATGATCAAGATGGACACACCTGTGTTCACACAGCTGATGCGCTGGGAGTTTGGATCGACTTTTTCATGCAGATGGAAGGTGGCCAAAGGATATCTATGCCTCAGTTAAGGACAGAATGGATTGAAGAGCTGAGCCAATTCACTAACAATGAGATCAGCCTGGACATCAGTGAAATGCCCACTCTGACGGACCTGGAAATCTCGTATAGAAGAGTCCCATGCGGCAGAGCGCAAGGACCTGATGGAATTCCTGGGGCGCTTTGCCATTTTCAGCCGGCCTCCATTGCAAAAGCGAGCTTTTCTCAGTTGACCCCCGCATACAAAGGCAAAGGACCCACACATAGCTGTACCTCATATAGGTCATTGCTTGTGTCCAGCAACATTGGCAAAGCGTTGCATAGAACCATCAGACAAGCTTCAGCCACATTGTATGAAACATTCCTCCAAGCGCAACAGGTGGGAGGCAGGCGAAAAATACCTGTGCAGCTCGCGCTTCATCAAGTGCGGGCGCATATGCGTAGAGCTGCAGATTCTGGTCGCTCTGCAGGAGTGCTTTTCCTTGATCTTACCGAAGCATTTTATCGCATCATGAGGCAAATCACCATTGGTGGCTCACCGACCGACGAATTGATAGCTCACGTGATGCGACGTTTAGACCTTCCTCCTACTGCTTTGCATGACATCAGAGAAATGCTGACGCAGCCCTCAGCGATTCAGCAAGCTGGTCTCAGTGCAGCAGCACAGCGATGTATCCAGTCCATACATACAGGTACATTTTTCTGGTTAGCGGGACAACATGACGCAGCCAAAACCAGCATGGGCACCAGGCCCGGTGACTGCTTTGCTGACGTAGTGTTCGGCTATGCATGGAGTGTTGTGCTCAAGAAAGTCGAAACATACATGGTGGAACGAAATTTGACCGACAAATTGCCGGCTGCCACTGCACCCACATTCTTTGCAACTGCACACACAGAAATGCACTGTGAACAGCCAGAATATGTCTTTATCGGTCCTACGTGGATGGACGATGTGGCACTATGTGTGGAGGGTAGTAGCCCGCAACAGCTTGAGAGCAGAATGGGCAGTGTGGCCAGCTTTCTCTTGGACTCATGCAAACAACATATGATGACACCAAATCTTGCTCGTGGCAAAACTGAATTGCTCATGGTATTCAGAGGCGCAGGATCGAGAAGATTCACTACCAAGCACTATGGCCCTGCAGCATCAGAGACCTTCCCAGTGCTTTGTGATGAGGGAGTGCATCATATTCAAATTGTGAAAAGGTACCGCCACTTGGGCGGTTGGCTGCATCACAAGCCTGATCAGCGTGTCGAGATCAGGCAAAAGGGGGCTTTAGCTCATGAAGCCTTCAGCAGACACCGAAAGGTCCTTTTTGTGAATCAGCAGCTGCCTTTGTCCAAGCGAGCAGAACTGTTCACTACGTTAGTTTTGACCAAGATGCTCTATGGTGCAGACTCGTGGACAATGTCCACCAATAAGGACAAGGAGAAGCTACATGCAGTGATCATGAGATTGTACAAGCGACTCATTTGCTGGACACCTGACATGGACATGAGTGATGAAATGATCATTGTTCAGACAGGCCTTCCAAGTCCTACAGAGCTTTTGCGACGTGCTCGCTTGCGCTATCTTCTTGTCCTACTCAACTGTGATATGCCCCTGATTTGGAGCTTGCTCAATGATGATTTGGAATGGAAAAAACTCATTGAGGATGATTTGAGATGGATGTGGCGACAACTTAGACACAGTTCCGGACTGCTCGATCCAAGTATGCATTTGCCACAGTGGCTCCTCATCATTCAAGACCACAAATCTTACTGGAAGCGTCTGGTAAACAGAGCTTGTCAGCATGCCATTCTTCAGCGAAAAAAAAGTTTGTGAGCTACATCGACGCCTTTTTGATCGAGCAATCAACTGTTTTGGCTTCCCAAAACCACCACACACCGTCTATGCGGATACCGCAGAGGAGACGCAGAAATTTGGATGCCTTACATGTCGGATTGCGTGTAGGTCAAAAGCAGGTGAAGGAGCACACATGTTCCGCAAGCACAACATTGTTGCGAAATGCCGCCAATGGTATGATGAACCTTCTTGCCCTTCGTGTTTGAAGTTCTTTCATACAATGGCAAAAATGAAAGCACACCTTTACTACTCGCGCACATGCAGACAGCGATTGATCAGCAGCAACATGCGCTGCCTGACCGTGCCGGGAACGGGGTCAGATGCGGATAGACACAGAGAAGAAGTCCACGATTTTATGCTGCCACCTTTGAAAGGAGAAGGACCGCATCTTCCTCATGCACATCCTCGTGAAGATCCATGCATTGATGATGCGTTGTTTCTACATCTTGTTGAGATTATTGACGAGAGGCTTTCACTCTCACAACTTCGAGAATCTCTCTGCGAGTATGTGAAGGTTCATCCTATGTCATGGACTATGTGGAAGACGACCCTCCGGTTCTTCATGGACACTTTTGAAGATGACGACGCAGCGTTCTTTCAGTATGACCTCATGGAACTTCGTGCATTCTTTGAGCGACTCATGCGCACCTCAACGTGGTCCTTCCTTCACGTGGATGGTCTTGCTGTGGAGGAGCACCAGACCAAGACGATTGAAGCATGTCATGAGCAATGTCAATGGTTTTTGGAACATGCTGGAGTTTTTGAAACTCGCGTGCCACAGACCTTTGGGAGACATCGATATGTCCTACATGCCTTCAGTGGAAGACGCCGAGTAGGGGATCTACAGTTTTTCCTTGAAAGGGCTGCAGAAGGAGACATGCCATATGTGCTTCATATCATTTCACTTGACATCATTGTGGACAAGAACTGGGGCAACATGGCGAAGGCGGAGACAAGGAAATTTTGGTTGGAAGCAATTCGGTCTCGCTGGGTGATCGCTTTCATAGGCGGTCGCCCCTGCGAAACTTGGTCGCGGGTCCGCTCAGTCAGCGATGGTACGACAAGTTTGCATGGGCCCCGTGTATTACGCGATGGCGATTTCCTCTGGGGCTACGAGAGTGTTGGGCTCAAGGAGATCCAACAACTCCTTGTTGGTAATACCTTGCTTGGATTCTCAATGGAAGCCATGACTGAGATTGCGGGGGTTGACGGTATGCGCATCCTCGAACACCCTGCAGAACCTCTTCCTTCGTCAGCCTCAATTTGGAGATTACCGTTGATGAAATGGATTTTGAGTCTCCCGGAGCTCAAAAACTTCGGTTCTCTCAAGGGCTCATGGGAGCACCATCGCCGAAACCTACGGATCTTCTCCTCATCAACATGACGCACTTGCTGCATCATTTGCACGCATGTAGAGTCAGAGTCGAACTTCCGCATGGTAGGGCTTTAGGAAAAAATGAGCACGGCCACTGGCGCACAGCAGTTTTGAAGGAATATCCGCCTTCATTATGCTTGGCATTTGCCAGGGCAATTTTGCAGGGCACAGACCAACGTGCTGTGTCCTTAAATGAACAGGAGCCATCGCCAGGCTTCATGGCTACTTGCCGCCCCATGGAATGCACAGAATTTGGGCGAGACATAGGCCATGATTTTGCAGGTTGATGGGCTCAGATTAGAATTCAGTCATGCGCAGCCGCGGCGAGAGCCTCTATGTGCGGGAGCCAAATATATATATATATATATTATCATATATACATATATATATGTGTGTATATATCCATGTTTTGTTATTATTTTGATTGTGATTCCTGTTGTTGTAATTAATATATATATATTATTAAATATTATGTATGTATGCATGTATATATATATATATTTATGTATTTATTCATTTATTTTTATCATATTATTACATATATTATTATGATCAATTATTATTATCATTATGAGTATTTGTTATTGTTATTATTATTAATAATATTATTATTATTCTTATTGTTATTGTTATCATTATTGTTCATTATTGTTCTTCTTATATGTATATATGTATTGTGTATTATCATTATATGTATAATATTATTGTATATATATATACACATTGAATATATAATTCTGTATATAAATATATATATATGAGAAAATATTACTATTAAATATATATATATATCATTATATACTATTATATATATATATTACTATACATATGTATTGTTATTATTGTTATCATTATTCTGTATATATATATATGTCCTTTTGTTTGTCGAAACCACCATGTGTGTCTGGCTCATATCTCCATTTCAGTCCTGCCCCGCCGCACACTCCATTTGGGCACCCGGACTGCCGCAAAGCACTGCTTAAGGTGCGGGCCACCGGCTGAGAGCCTACGGTGGCATTGTGGAGGTATAATAGAGTTGTGAGTACACAAAATTTGTGTATATCAAATAGATTTATATAGTGTATTTTACATATAGAGTATATGTATAGTGGATAGAATACAGTAGTAAGAATAGACAGTTTCAAGGTGTCTTTGTGTGACTTGCTCTTTTTATTGGTTCTAGAATGAAAACTCGGTGCACATCTGCTGGATCCAGCTGGTTCATTCGGAAGCTGTGACCCGCCTTCGCTCTTCTTATCATCAGCGCGGCTGCCTGGCACCGGCGCAGTTTGTCAGCTGGTGACGACTGCCCTAGATCAATGTGGGATTTGGGACGCTCCCGAACTCCCCAAACACTTAAGGGAATTGCTGGGAATCTCTCACTTCCTAGCAAATTCCTGATCATGTTTCAATTGTTCAATATCAAGAACCCACTTCTCCCCCTCTTTTCACGTCTCTCGCAACACGCTGCCCTTTTGGTGAGACGGGAGCATTGTCACGGTGCATTCAGCGCGCGCACGCGCTCAGCGCACCACCTCAAACGTGACCGCTGGGAGGGGATAAAATCAAGCAGTGATCTTCTGTGGTTAACACAGCAGCATCCACGTTCTACCCCAGTCTTCATCGTTGGAGATCATTATACACCATATCGCCATATATTCATTCAATGTATCTCAATGAAAATTGCTAAAAATGTGAACTTCTGACTGGCTTCACTTGGCCAGCTGCAAACCCCCCCGTTCCCATGCGGAACTCTACTCAAACCTGGCAACAGAACGAATCCCCAGATCTTTCATGGAAAAAAAAATCTGCGCAGTGTGTATATATATATATACATATTTATGCCAACGGACTCGTTGCCGTCTCACAAATCCACATCCGGTAGTCTGGGGTGGGGTGGGATGGGGTGGGATGGGTTGGGGTAATAACGTCAGTTGCATTTCCACATGAACTGGACGCTACGCTCCATGATCTTCATTTGCATTTCCACATGAACTTGATGCTACGCTCTATGACCATCATTTGCATTTCTACATGAACTTGATGCTACGCTCTCTGATCTTCATTTGCACTTTCCTGATCTTCACTTGCACTTCATACTACGCTATTTGAATTTCTACGTAAAAGCCTGAGCGAATCCGCTGGGTGTCGAAAGATTGTAGGAGTTTAATCTTGTTTCATGTCTTGATTTTTCACACGTAGATGCACGCTGTCATCCAATTTGCTGCGCAAACCATGTATATTCGTATATTTAGCCATGGATGTATGTTTGCATATTATATATCGAAAAAGGGCCAGGCGCGCAATCCTCAAATATGGAAATGCATGCGCTCTTTCCAGTGCCGATGGGGGTGCACAGGGAAAAACCTGATTGAAGCCACCGCAGACGCGTTGAAGAAAATGTGAGAAAAAGTTGCGGTTGCGCTTTTTGAGGCTGAAGTGATGGAAGGGTTGTCATTCCAAAAGTAGACGGAGCTTTTTTTTGATAGGTTTCGAATGTTCAAATCTGGCTGCTCGCAGAGGGCGTCGTACTTTTGATCATTTTCTCACGCCGGTAACGCTTCCGGCGGGATATTTATGAATATATGAACATATATGATATTGTATCAAATTATAATATATACATATATATATACATATATATATATACATATATATATACATATATATATATATATGCATAAATATATATATACATAAATATATATATATATGTATATATATATATATACATAAATATATATATATGGTTCAATAAATATATGGTTCAATAAATATATGGTTCACCAAGTTCACCATATATAATGATAATAGAAGTCATTCCTTCAAAAAATGGAGAGAGTTTTTCTGCCGGGTCACAGCTCGGTGCCAGACGCACTGGTCACCTCACGACATGGCGCCATGGGAAAAACCATGGCGCCAAACACGTGGGAAAATGGGGAAAAACGTGGGAAAGTACCGCCAAATTATGGATTCAGAATAGTTTTTGTATTTTTTTTGGCTCAGGTTTTGGATTTTTTTTTGGCTTTCTTTCCTGGTACCATGTGCCTTGTATTTGCAACAGTTTGGAACTAGAATCTGTCATTTTGCATGGTATTTGCTACATGTTGGCATGATTACTTTGCATTTTGCATGGTATTTGCTACATTTGGCGATGTTCGCCTTACATTTTGCATGGTATTTGCCACGTTTTGGCACTTCAACCTCTCATTTGCATGGTATTTGCTACATTTCGGTACTTCAAACGTTCATATGGGTTCTTGAGAGTTTCTTTAGGCTTTCATTTAGTGTTTCATTTATAGGGTTTCATTTAGGGTTTCACTAGGAATTCAGTTAGGGTTTCATTTAGGGTTTCTTTAGGGTCTCATTTAGGGTTTCATTTAGGCGTTCATTTAGGGTTTCTTTAGGTTTAGGGTTTCATTTAGGGTTTAGGGTTTCATTTAAGGGTTTCTTGTCAGGATTTCTTATCAGGATTTCCAAACGTTCATGTGGGTTTCTTTGGGCTTCTTTAGGATTTCATTTAGGATTTCATTAAGGGTTTCATTAGGATTTCATTTAGGGTTTCATTTAGGGTTTCTTTAGGGTTTCATGTAGGCTTTCGTTTACGGGTTCTTCAGGGTTTCAGTTTGGGTTTTATTTAGGGTTTCGTTTAAGGTTTCATTCAGGGTTTTTTAGAGTGTCGTTTAGGGTTTCTTTAGGATGTCATTTAGGGTTTCATTCTAAGTTTCTTTAGGGTTTCATTTATGGTTTCTTTAGGGACGGTTAATTTATGGTTTCTTTAGGTTTGATTTAGGGTTTCATGTAGGGGTTTCGTATCAGGAGTTCTTATCAGGATTTCTTTAAGGTTTCTTTGGGTTTCACCTAGGGTCTTTAGGGTTTCATTCAGGATACAAACAGGAGAGAATAAAGCAAAAGAAAAAAAAACAAAGAGTCAGTAAAGACAGGAAGCAGAGAAGCAGAGCAGGAAGTATAGCAGCAAAAACACATGACTGAAGAAAAGAAAAAGTAGAATAGTTGAAGTAGAAAGGCACAGAAGCAGAGAAGCAGAAGCATGGAAAGCAGAGAAGCAGAGAAGCAGAAAAGAAAAGAAGCAGGTAGAGCAGAGAAGCAGAGAAGCAGGAAAAGCAAAAAGCAGAAAAGCAGAGAAGCAGAGAAGCAGAAAAGGCAGAGAAGCAGAAAAGCAGAGAAGCAGAAAAGCAGAGAAGTAGACAAGCAGAGAAGCAGGAAAAGCAAAAAGCAGAGAAGCAGGAAAAGCAAAAAGCAGAGAAGCAAAGAAGCAAAGAAGCAGAAAAGCAGAAGCAGAGAAGCAGGAAAGCAGGAAAGCATAGAACCAGGAACCCAAAAAACAATCCAAAACCTGCCGCGAAAAAAGAAATAAAAATAAATAGCTCTGCAGCTCTGCATCTTTTTGGGTACTGTAAATATCTGTAAATCAATGTAAATCATAGGTAATCTATGGTAATGATTAGGTTTGAGTTTTGACCCAAAAAATGCGGTGAAATTCACCACTTGTAACTAGAACTGCCCCCATCCACTAGATTTTCCACAGATTGAACTCAACGGGAGGGAACTCCAAGACTGGTCGATTCTTGTGGGGGCCAGCTTCTGATTTGCTGGGGAGACATACCAACCCAGTTGTCAACATCTAAATGATTAGATTAGGGAAGCAGCAGATGAGATGATGTAGTCTCTGCTCAGCCAGGAAATCTCAACAGCAGTGTCTGACATCAGAAATGACTTACAACAAGCATTGGCACATGTGTAGAATGTCCTGTCCTTTCAGTACCGGGCCGGCTTTGTCCCTTTATGGGACAGCCCCTACCACCGGCTCTGAGGGGGTGCAGCCATGCAACGTGGAGCCGTTCACTTTCGGGCCTTCCAGCAATTTGAAAACCAACCCATCCGCGGAAGAATCATCTGCCAATTTTCTCCTCCAATTTTACTTGCGTAAATCATTCAAGTTAGAATAAATGATAGTAATCCCTCCAAAAATAGGAAAAGGTTCCATTTATCACCATTTTTGTCGACTTTTCCAACCATTGCTTGGTCGCACCCTCCCAACGAAGCTTACCACCTGGCCCCGGCCTGCATCGGTCCTCAGGACGGTGAATCCAATGGATGTTCATCCAAAATCTGATATCATAGGTATTGACCCATACCACCCATGCCCACACAAACATATAGTGTGTATATATATCATATATTATATAATATAATGAATCATGAATACTAAAAATTAACAAACATCTGGGGTCCCCTCAGCCTTAGATTTTTGACCCTCATGTAGAATCACAGGCTGGCATGGCCTAAAAATTGTTGACTCCCCAAAATGGATGGAATTCTTATACTTACAGTATATTTAGAAACATAAGAACTACTAAGAATGACCAATGTGGGTCCATTAACGGACCCTTTCTTGACACATCCCCAAGGGGACTTCTGGTACCAGTCCAAGCTGCTTCTGTCGCTTCGCAGGCGGCGCGTTTGGGTCGTTTTGGGCGTTCGCCCGGCGGAAGGAGAGGCTGATGTCCTGGATTGGTTTGTTGGGGAAAATCTTAACAGGAAACCATGGTTTTTACCATCAAATATAGGGCTTTCCTGTAAATTGTCCCATCTTCCAATTCTATGATCAATGGATGCCTGCTTCAAACTATTGATCTTCAATTACAATCGGCTGTTCGGACTCGCCGTTCTGAGCTCCATGCGTGGCAGCGCCATCTGCTGCCATCCAACATCTCAGCCCAGAACCAAACCTGGGACATTGCGACATCGTTCGGAAGACACAGCCATTGGATACCATTCTCGTCTGTACCCATTGATCCAGCCGATTTCTCAAAAATCTGCTGCCAAAGGAGCTCTTGACCCCAGCAACTTGAGGCCGTTGGTCACCTGGCCCATGGAGCAATTTTCGATAATTTTCGTATATCTTCAATATCTTCCCGATAAAATCAGTGGTTTCTTCAGCCCACTGAGTCACCTCACTGCCACCCTATGGGATGATCCCTGAAGCATCAGCTAAGCAGCTTGGGAAGAAAGGTCACTGCTGCATATCTGCCTTATGGTTTTTATCATGGTTTTATCTACTATAAATTGGGGTCAAAAATTCCCCCTGATCATGCTCCATCACAATCCCATCTCAAAACATCGGTTGCTTGGTGATATCATCCAGCCAGTTTTTGGTGGAAAGTAACAAGTCTCCGACCTGCCAGCTTCTGGCCTTCTGTTGCTCCTCGGGAAGCAAATCTTTCACGTTGAAGTAGAGGTCCGTTTCGTCCGCGTCCACCGTGATGAAGCCAAAACCTCGATCCTCAACGGAGGGTCTGTAGCGGCCATGTTCAGCCCCCTTTTTGTCGTGAGACCCATCCCAATCAGTGGAAATACATGGAGATACAGCTGAGATACATCTATGTTATCACTTTTGGTCGTGTTTTAATCCCATCCCCAAAGGATGTCTCAACCTCCATGGGTCCCCAGGGTTTCCTGCCTGGTTGAAGTTTTTCACCTTGCCGCTGACCTCCGCCCCGTCGTGCAGGATGCTGCCGGTGCCGGGGATGATGGCCTCGACGGAACTCGATGGAACCAGGGCGGAGGATTCCCCCAACCCCCAAGGGACCCCAAGGGACCCCAAGGACCCCAAGCCATCTACGTTGTGACCTTGTGACGGGCGCGTCATGATGATCCATAGTTATCGGAAAAAATCCCATCAAGAACCTCCAACCCATTCAAATCGCCTTGTTTGTTGCTTCAATCCCCATGGTTCATGCGAAATGTCCATTTTCTGCTGGTTAAATCACTATGATTGCTGGCTAAATCCCTTTTTGTTGATGGTTATCCATATCAGAGCCGCCTCATGCGCCACTGCGGCCGCCTTTTGCACCGCAGCCTCCACCTAGGCTGGACTCAAAACTGGATGGTTTCATATGCAATAAAGTGTCAAGAGTTTCTATTGACAGCAAAAAAAAATGGATGGTCTCATGAAATTCAAAAAAGTTTTACGTTGGCTGGATTTCTTCCCAACTGAAAGACCGATGTTGTGATCTGGAATGCCCTAGCTATGGGCCCATAGTCATCTAGAGAGATTTGGGGACCTGCAGCTGCCAAGATTCTGCAGCAGCTATGGAGAGAGTAGCAGTTGGACTTAGAGACATATCTCTGGCCCTCAAACGACCACCACCTGGCGTTTTCGAGGCTGACGGGCAAGATGGAAAATAGATCCTGAATGGTAGATGATATTAAACTATATACGAACATCTATAATTGTAATACTTCGGCATGTACGTCCTAACATATAAAGACAACCAACATCATATTTGCTGATGATATTAAATCAAGATCATGTTGAGTTATATGTATTATATAGTGCTAATATACTTAATATATCATAATATATCTAGATATATTATTATCATATCTTGATGTTAAGCCCTCTATCGGATCCTGCCTGGCATTAGCTGAAGCGAAAACTTCACCAAGGCCTGGGCGAAATTTCTTTCGAGATCAACTTGAGATCAAACATGATGTGAATATTAATCATAGGGTTATGTAAGTTCTATATAGATCTATTATATTATAGATCTATTATAGATGTATATTATATATATAGTGATTACATAATGATCTATTTACATCTATTTACCCTATGTATTCCGAGATGTGAGATGTGATCCTGATGTGTTTCTTTTTGGACTACTGGCAGACAGGCAAATGAAGGTTTCCATAATTGAGGCCCCGAAATGGATAGTTAAAAAAATGGACAATCCAAGTAAAGTTGGTGATTTGGTACCCCTATGACTTAGGAAAACACCAGATGAATCAACTTTATCGATGAATCCTTTGCCGCAGATCAAAATCTCGCAACCATTCAAAACGATTCATGCTTTCGCCATTCCAAAAAATTCTAGTCATTCATTTGAGCCATTCATTTGGGGTTACCATAAATGGGGCTACCCCATTGATCATCCAATTTTCGTCGGATTTTCCATGAAAAAACCAAGGCACGCCGGAGGACAGGCCACTACCCTCGGAACCCAAAGTCTCCACCTGCGACTTGAAAGACTCCACAAGGTCCTCAGGCCGGGCCATGGCTGGCCCATGGTGAAAAGATCTTGAGAATTCTTGAGATATCCTCAACTTTTTAGATGACACAGGTTGATCATTGTTGATCAAACATCAATGGTTCAAGATTTCTGATAATAAAATATAATAAACATTAATAAACATTGATGTAAATCCATCTAAATCCAGGATTGTCACAACTAACCAGGAATCTGGACACAAACCTCGAAACCTTGGGCATTTGCACCCAGCTCCAAAAGAGTACTGGAGAGCATTGAAGAGCCGTTCTGATTTCCGTAAGGTTCGGACCCAAACTTGGAAGTACCTGAGTTTTCATGCCCTTGCTCGCAAATGTCTTGCAAACTTAATGATTCGTTTAACGGATTTAATGGGGGTTAATAGGTCTTAATGGTGGGTTAATCCGTGTTTGACAGGATCAAACAACTGAGAAACCTATCATGGAAAGCTAAGGTCAGGGCACTCTGCTGGTCAGCAATCAATTGCAAGACTCACCCTTTCGTAATCAAACATGGCTGGAAAACCGACCATGTGTAGATCATTTCGGTAGGGAAACCATGGGTTGTCCAAATCTGTTAGTTTACCCTAGGGTACCCTCTGGTAATTTAACATAGCTATTGAAAATGGCTATTTATAGTGGATTTTCCCATTAAAAATGGTGATTTTCCATAGTTATGTTAGTTTACCAGAGGGTAAATGTCCATTTACTTTGGGGATTTCCCAGCTAGCCATGGAGCTGCATCCAAGATATCCAAGTCACACGTCGTTTGGCTGCCCATCCACACCTGAACATCTGGGCATGTCTCAAATTGCGGGCCCCCCTGCGTATTATGCCCTCCACTACTAAACCAAATAGGATCAAATAGGATCAAATAGGATCATAGAGCTGATAGATCATCAAGTTTGGGAATATCATATGGGGAGTTCTTAAAATGGTGGTTCAACACTACTTTGGAATGATTTGGGGGTACCTCCATTTTAGGAAACCCCCATATGATACTAGGTTGTTTGGCAGCCTGTTCATTCCTAGCTTCCTCCTAAGCCTTCTTTGCACAATCCATTCAGTGATAAAAGGGGCAAAAAATGTCCTTTCTTTGAATCGTTTTCTCCCTTGCGTGCTCTGCCAAACATGTGTTTCATGGTGGGAGGGGCGTAAGCAACATTGTGACAACCAATGAAAGATTGCAGTGGCAAGAATCAGCCATTTGTAGATGATTGTATCCTGATATCCTATTCCCCTGCCCGCCAGTCCCATACTCCAAAAATGTGCCCAGTTGCTGATGAAACCGAAGTTCTTTTCCTGAGCAAACAGCGGAGTAATGAGATTCTTTGTATGATTTTCCCATTCAACCTCTCATACACCTTTACCATCTTTGATTACCACAGGGTACAAAGACACACACGTAATGGGCATTCCAAAAAGCTTCTTGAAGCATGGCTGCAGGTCGCTTCAAACGGATTTGTCCGAAAATAGCGTACCCCTAAAATCCTTTGGTTGATCATGGTGTTCCCCTAGTTTCCCTATCAAAAATTGCCATTTGGGGGTTCTACCCCATTTTCAGACCCAAATGGCTCAGCTAAGGTGCAGCATTGTAGGATTTCAAACGACCAACCAACTCACAGCCCGGAATGATCTGCTTCTCGACCTCAGGGCACACAGCAAAACTGGTCCATGATTCATGGCACTTGGGTTGATGTACCATCCAGGTAATCAAACGTGGCACTGGGAAATCTATGGAAATCTCCTATAAACCTAGGTGGAAATGGGAAAATCATCTATAAATGGTGGATTTTCCATTGCCACATTTGAATACCGGATGGTAGACCCAGGATATCCTGCAAGTTCCACCACTGGGGAGCCGTGGAAACCATCCGCCAGCCGTGCCCCGCCTTGGGTAGGGAAGCTTTGCCGCTTCCTTTCCCACTGCCCTTGCCGCCGCCATAATCCATTGACCTTGGGAAAATTGGTGATCCTCCCATTCAAAACGTCAGCCAGCCATGTGGGGCATCATGTCCACCCTGCTTCTAATCACAAAAAAAATTGGACATCTGCCGATATTGGTTCAATGATGTTCAATGAGTGTCAACATCCCATCTTCCATTGGTTCATATCTCCAGTTGTTGTTGATTCATATCCCCAACTGTTGTCACCTTCATCCCCCCAGACCTGCATCCGACTGCCAAGGGGCCCACCGGAGCCCCATCCATCCCATCCGTCCCATCCATCCCAACCATAGGAGTCTGAGTAGTTCTCCTCCTCAGGTGGTGCTGGCGCAAACGTCACCCGCTCCTCAAAAAAAAGGTTGGTGGTTTGCCATCATGGTTTAAGTGGCTAATTTGAGTATGGATTCCATAACGAGCATTGACAAGGACCTCCAAAAACTGACCCAAGCTGTGGTTTGCACATCCATCCGACATTTCAAAAGGCTTGGGCTCCGTTCAACCATTAGTCAAAGCCAAGACTCTCCCTTGCCCCAGCCTGCACGAACATGCAAATGCCGCGTCAAAAGCAGGTGAAAGGCACATCGCTCACTGGTTGTTAACACATTTGATCACATTTGTTTTGATGGCAGGTGCCACAAGTTGAAAGATGTTGAAAGTCTCATAGGTGTCATAGTTCAATACCTCCAGCCATCCCAGCCATCCATCGCCTTTGCCGCCCAGCATTTCTGCTGTAAGGCCACCAGGGGAGCTCCCATCTCCGGCTAAGACCTCACTTTTGAGAAATGTCTGAGACAACTCCTACCGTATGTTTGATGGTTAATGATGGTTAAAACAGGTTAATAATGGTTAATTCACCATTAATTATGGTTAATAATGGATGACTCTGTTGGTCAATGGAAAATATCACTGGATCGAAAAAAAGGATCCAACATACCAATGACACCGAGACACGATATCTTTCGCCTGCCATCCTGGGCGCACGTAGAGAAAGCATCGATTTCCAGGTGGGTTGTCGTTGATCTCCATCAAATGGCTATTCCAAGCAGAAAATGGTGATCAGATGTGATCAGGAATGAATATCAGGGTACCCCTATCTGCATCAAAAGGAAATCGTTTTGATCGCCTTTGAAATTTTCTGAAATTAACACCGCAGTCCTGGATTCAGTAGAGGCAGCACTTTTGAATAGAACTGAATCCCTGGCCATTTCCTGATTCTTCCTTCCCTGATCCTACTATCGGATACTATCGAAACCATTTCCTTCCATTTGCCAAGGCTCTACTGTCTGTTTGTGCATACACTGTGAACCAAACCACAGTGCCTACTGCACCCATCTCTTCACATCTCATCTGGGCATCAGGCCCCACATCGCCTCAGACGGGTGTCAGGTCAGGACCCCCCACGACCACGACGGAACGGCGCAACATGGCGCAACTGAGCCCGTCACGGCCTTGGAAATAAATGTCGATGGGGTTTCCAGTCACATTTATAAAACCTCAGCTTCGCATAGCTTCGCATAGCTTCGCGGCTTCGCAGCACCATGGCACAAGGACCACCAAATCTAGTTCACGCTTTAAGAAAAATACACAAAAATCGCCAAAATCCCTGGAGTCGTGCTTAAAGGTCCCCCCCGCTCTGCCCAGCATTTGAAAGTCCATGTTCCATCTCCTCACAAAACGGCCGCCCCCCATCTCGGCCAGTGCAGCCAGAAGGGCCAAAACCTTTGTGGTCATAAAAGTACCGAATCATGCCGGCCATTTTCATCCCATCCATCATTTGCACTCCAGCTTCCAGCAGGCTCACATTCCTGCCGTTCCAGCGCCCATCCGCACGCGCTTCCACGCGGCAGGTGGCGTTGCAATTGGCCAAGCCGGCAGCGCCCACCAACCTTGGCAACGGCCATGGACTAAACTCATGGCGAAAACAGGAGGCAAACCGCCATAAACCATCCCCAAGGACCAATCAATGGGGATGATTCACCATCCAAATGGTAGGCGTCTCATTGGTTTACCACATTGATTCTTTTAATGTTGTGTGAATCATCTTGCGAACAAGGAGTTTACATGGAACTGCTCACTCTCCCATTCTCAGAGTCGGAATAGTGTTGCCCAATTGTAGCCAGTCCGTTCATGGGGGGGATGTTATCACATTCCAGTGTAGAAGTGCACAAAACCCACTGTTGTCCGTTGTCCTTCCTTCTATTGATCAGTTGATAGGTAGTCCCCATACTTACATTTGTTATGATAGCAATAAGAATAAAAATAACAATAGTGAAAATAGTAGTAATGACCAGCATCATAATTATAATATATAATAATGATAACGATCACACTGATAACGAACCTTGACACAGTAATATATAGTTATTCCCATCAAACCAGGTAGTATAAATCCATAAAAACCATCAACACAACTTGGGGTTGCACCATTGGCTCACCATGATCCAGCGCCAAGGAACATCAGAAGCCCTTGTGAGGCCTCGTCCATATCCTGAGCTTGGAAGCATCAGGAAAAAATCATAGGAACTTTCGGAACTGCCTACATTTGCTCGCAAAAAACATCAAAAAAAAAACATGGTTTATTCATGGTTTCCTGTATATAGATTATCCATGATAATCCCTCAAACCAAGCTAATGAGTAGTTCTTCTCTGATCTGCGTTGAGAGTATGACTCAGTCCATCCACCTGGAGTATCAAACCTACCGAACGACACGGACGATCATGTCCGTTATCTGTCATATCAGATGGAATGGGATTAGTGACTGTCGCAGTTTGTATAGTTTAAGCCGGAGTTCACCCAGTTCACCCTGGCGCCAGGAGTCAAACCACCACACTTAATCAGATCCAGAACATAAGTCTACTAAGTCTACTCATATGGCACCTGGATTCCCTGGATTATTGCTCTGTTGGCAATCCGAGCAAAACTCCGAAAAACTCTTGGACAGCAATTCCCATGTTTCTGCACTCCTGCCAGATTGCAGGAACTCCGGCTCTTGGTCTTAGAGACTTGTTGAAAACTATGCGAGTTCGAACACCAGATCCACCTTCGATATATTGGGGTCTCCCCCAACACCCATGCCCTCCCTATCTCCCACTTGGCATGGTGCCCTGCCATGGAAGTAAAGATCCATGTTGGCCCCAGGAATCTTCAGGAAGCCAAAACCCCTAGTGTCGTTGAAAGACTTGACCTCGGTGTCGTTTGTCGTCATCTGTGCCGTATTCAAGCTATATTTGGCAGAAACATCATAATTTTTCAATGATCTTCACCTGAAAATCCGTCGAAACATCAGTCTTCAGTGGAATGTTTGGGTAGAAACATCAAAAAAACGATAACAACTGGAAATGAGTGGAACATTTGGACCATCCATAAATTCATCAGCTTTCCCCATGGAAAAATCGGAAAATCCGATCGAGGCACCGTGGCCGTGATGGTGGTGCCATCCCTTAGGGCCACCGGTTCCGCAGTGGTGTCCGGATCTCCCAGACAGAGATCCATCCCCTGGCGCTGCAGTGGCGAATGGAAATGGCTGGAAAACCTATGGAAACAAATGGGAAAACCCATGGAATTTGGGGAAAACCAATGGAAACCCGATGAATTTATCCATACCGACATCAACACAGATGGCCAAATGGCAGTTTTGAATGCTTTGCTACTGGGTGTCCGGTGTTATCTTCACAATCAACGGCTGCAGCAACAACCAAGCGAGGTTTTTCTATGATTTTCTTCATCAGCATCCACGATCGAAGCAAGCACACTGGAGAAAGGAAGAAGAACTAAAAACCTATGTGCTTCCTTTGGCCCGCGAACAAGAAAATACTGTGTCTAACGCTCTAACGGAACCGAAACTGGGCCATAAATAAACCTAGAGGGAATCCCACTGTATCTCTGGTCCCCACTGAACCTGCGCAGAACCGTCTGCCAGCATCTTCAGGAGAAAACTAACCTCAAATGGTTTGGCCACGTTGGCGAAGGTAGACAAAACCGTGATATCCTCAAAATCATCTGAGAAACATTGGGAAACCTGTCTCAGAGGAAGCCATCAGGTTTAAGAACGCGGTGATCTACGCTGGATGAAGCGCAAAAAGTGTTTTGTTTGCCGCAAAATTGAGGTCCTTAACGAGGATGCAGAATGCATTCCCTTCAACTCCAGAAACCCTCCCGCCCCTCTGGGGTCCCTCATGCAGGAGTTATTTGATTGCCCTGCTACAATATCTACAATCCCACCACCCCTGTATGCTCTCTGGCGCTCACCTATCTACAGATGATTTCCCCATAAAAAATAACGATTTTTCACCTTGGATGACCAAAGGGTAACCAATTGGGCCCACTTTTTGTCGACATCCTCCGCACGCAGCGGGGGACAATTGTGACGTCCCCTGAGAGCTATGGGGGTTTCCTGCTTATGTGAAACAACTCCTCTCAGGAGTGCAACCCGCCCAGGGCTAGTGATCCATGCCCAAATGGTATGAGTTTGACTTGACTGTCAATCGGTATGATCATCTCAAATAAGATAGGTTTCTTTTGAAAACACCAGACCAGACTGACCAGACCATGGAAAAATAGTGTGTCCTTTTATTGTAGCCTGTTGGTGGTTCAAGTCCTCAAATCTTGGGGCATGTACCAACCAGTGTCCACCTACCTGCCCAACGGAAGACCATCCAAACCATCTGGAATCTGCAATGATAATAAAAACAATGATAGTATATAGTCATAGTCGTCTTAAGCTCATAAGACCAAACAGGGAAGAGAAGACACCATATCCCGATAACCATAAGAATAATCAAAAACACCAACTTCCAGATTCCAGGTGGATGTCTTTCTGTGTTGTCTCCCGCTTTGGACTCAGACCTCCACAGAGGCGTCTCCATTTCGCGGCTGCTGTGGCGACAAATCACCCTGTGCAATGCAGAGAAACGGCCTGAGCCGCTGATCTCGCAGATTCAGCTTCAGACCTCCTGGGACGTTGCAGCGTCCATACCAGCGTTGCGGCACCAAAGCTAAACATGGCTAAACCATACCAGGCCCAAAGATCAAGGCTGTTGGGCCTATGGCGCCTCCGGTCATTGGGATTTTTATATACGTGGTCAACGATGGCGGCGCATTGTGCCAATGATCGCAATGCAAATGTCAAACAAGTGGTCTGCACAGCCCAGGAGGTATGAACATGTACATACATACACATAGCACGTATTTTATATACATATGTTACATGTATGTCTATATAATTCTATATATATATATAAATACTGTGTATATATGTATATGTGTATCTAGATGTGTATGTATATGTGTATCTAGATGTGTATGTATATGTACACATATATGTATATGTATATGTATATGTATGTGTATGTGTATGTGTATGTGTATATGTATATGTAAGTGTATCAGTGTATAAGTGTATAAGTGTATAAGTGTATAAGTGTATAAGTGTATAAGTGTATAAGTGTATAAGTATAAGTACAAGTATAAGTACAAGTATATATATTGTATATATATATATATACTCGTATAATATATATATATATACAATTATCTATATATTATATATAAAGATATCTTAGTCGCATGAGACACCCACCTCTGTCCCTTGCTCCTCTGCCTTCTTTCTTCCACTCCATCATCTCTGCTGAACTGTCGGCTTCACCCAGTATGTTCAGATGGGTCACACACAGTGCGGTTCCAGCTTGGAGATCAACAGGCGTCCGTGTTGTGACACTTGGCACCGTCATTTGCTCCTGAACTTCCCAAAGACACAGGAGGTCAGAAGCAAACCAGCTCGTTTTGTCCTGGCCAGAGCAATTCTCATTGAGGAATTCAGCTATCACCTCCTCTTTTACCGGGAGATTGCAGGAAAAAATCCCCACTTTGACGAGTTTTTCAGTGGAATTGAAACCCTTGTTCTGCAGATCTGGATCCAAAACCATTCAGGTCATTCAGAAACCGGCCTCCTCTCCATCTTTTGCTCCGCGAAATATAAATCGAAAAACCTTATGGTCCCTCGCTTTCATCAGGACAATGTGCATCCCTTTCTTACCTGTGGCTGGCTTCAACCCTCCAAAAAATATGATCCAGATCCAGCTCATGCGGGATCATCACCCCAAATATATGGTCAAAAATAAAAATAAACCCAAAGAGTATCCCCAACAGCCAGAAACAGAAACAGCTACCAAACACGCAATGAGTGAAGTATGTTTATTTCCAGTCGGATTGTGAAACTTGCCAGTCGGATTGTGAAATTTGCCGCGCGGATTGTGCAACTTGTGTTGTGAAACTTGAAATTCGGATTGTGAAACTCTGGGGTCAGATTGTGAAACTGGTGTTGTGAAACTCTGAAGACGGATTGTGAAACTCGGGGGACGGATTGTGAAACTGGGATTGTGAAACTCTGAAGACAAATTGTGAAACTCTGGGGGGAGAGTGTGAAATTGGTATTGTGACAGTCTGCGGAGAGATGGTGAAACTTTAGGTGGAGGTTGTTTCACGGGTACTGCGAAACTCTGAAGACAGATCAGGAAACTGTGAAACTCCAAGTTTCATAATCAAAGCCTCATGTCTCAGAATGCGACGTCCAAGTTTCACAATCTGACGTTTAAAAATCATTACAAATCTTCAAACTCACTCCCCTGTTGCAGCAGCAGTCTAGCACCTTTTTTCTCTTCTCTACGCCCGAACTCATTCCCACAACTTCAAGACGCGTCGCGCCAAGGACTTCATAGTCGTCTTAACCTTGTGGAGGCTCCAAGTCAGTTTGAAGTTCCATGGGGTGGGAATTTTGTGAAGTTCCATGGGGGTGGGAATTTTGATATAATCTTAACCTTGTGGAGACTCCAAGTCAGTTTCAAGTTCCATGGGGATGGGAATTTGGATAACATCTTCACCTTGTGCACGCTCCAAGTCAATTTGAAGTTCCATGGGGGTGGGAATTTTGATATCATCTTAACCTTGTGGAGACTCCGAGTCAGTTTGAAGTTCCATGGGGGTGGGAATTTTGATATCATCTTCACCTTGTGGACGCTCCGAGTCAGTTTGAAGTTCCATGGGGGTGGGAATTTTGATATCATCTTCACCTTGTGGAGACTCCAAGTCCGTTTGAAGTTCCATGGGGGTGGGAATTTTGATATCATCTTCACCTTGTGGACGCTCCGAGTCAATTTGAAGTTCCATGGGGGTGGGAATTTTGATATCATCTTAACCTTGTGGACACTCTAAGTCAGTTTGAAGTTCCATGGGGGTGGGCACCTTGCTTGGGAACCTTGCTTGGGAACCTGTTCCTGTGAACCTTGCTTGGGAACCTCTTCCTGAGAACCTTGCTTGGGAACCTCTTCCTGGGAACCCTTGCTTGGGAATCTCTTCCTGAGAACCTTGCTTGCAAACCTCTTCCTGGAAACCTTGCCTGGGAACCTCTTGCTGGGAACCCTTGCGCGAAACCTTTACCTGGGAACCTTGCTTGGTATCCTCTTGGGAACCTTGCTTGTTGACCCCTTCCTGGGAACCCTGCTTGGGAACCCTTGCTTGGGAACCTTTTCCTGGGAACCTTGCTTGGGAATTTTCCTGGGAATGGGAACCTTTTCCTGGGAACCTGCTTGGGAACCTTGCGCAGTGCGGATTTGGCTGCTTCGACCTGCTCCGGGACCTTTACTATGGCTGAAGACCCCAAGCTTACGCTGTTGGGGAAAAATATAAAAAGAATTGAAAGCACCAACCAGTTGCAGTCAATAGTGAAATATTCCCTCCACATTGCTTTATCGCTCGAGAAAGTCGACGGGCACCTGACTCGAATCCTGTTTGTTTGCTTCTGCTGCTGACGTGCTTTCATCACTGCAACTACCTCGTCCTTAGCCAGGACCGGTACCAGGCCTGCTCACCCTGGCATTGGAAGATCATTATGTTCACAAGAGATGATCAAAACTGTCCGTAGTTTGGTTTTAAACGATGGTTTTAACCAACAAATGTTTCGGCAGCCTGCAAAGTTCCTTTCATCAAATCAAGGACCTTGAAAAATGATCGGTTCACCACTGGGATTCTGAGGTACCAAGAAAAAATGATGGAGATCAAGATCAAGTGTCACAGATAGACTTTGGATAAACACTCAAAGTTCCAAACTTTCGGGAAACCACACCAAGTGTCTAAAGGTCTTCGCTCAACCACAAATCTCCTGTCTTGGGTCACCCGGGGCGTCGCCGGCGCCCCAGCCCCATTCGGCATCACTTGTGGTGTCGAAGCCTGGCTCACCCAATCAGGCAAGGCCGCTAGCTGTTCAGACGCATCATCAGGCCCACGCCTCGTGCAGGGAGTGCAGGGTGGTTCCATCGCAGGTGGAAGTACTGTGGTGTCCGTACACAACTCCAGGATGCATACCACAGTACATACCTGATCTTGACAAACAAACGTGCAGGGAGTGCAGGGTGGTTCCATCGCAGGTGGAAGTACTGTGGTGTCCGTACACAACTCCAGGATGCATACCACAGTACATACCTGATCTTAACAAACAAACGTGCAGGGAGTGCAGGGTGGTTCCATCGCAGGAGGAAGTACTGTGGTGTCCGTACACAACTCCAGGATGCATACCACAGTACATACCTGATCTTAACAAACAAACGTGCAGGGAGTGCAGGGTGGTTCCATCGCAGGTGGAAGTACTGTGGTGTCCGTACACAACTCCAGGATGCATACCACAGTACATACCTGATCTTAACAAACGAACGTGCAGGGAGTGCAAGGTGGTTCCATCGCAGGTGGAAGTACTGTGGTGTCCGTACACAACTCCAGGATGCATACCACAGTACATACCTGATCTTAACAAACAAACGTGCAGGGAGTGCAGGGTGGTTCCATCGCAGGTGGAAGTACTGTGGTGTCCGTACACAACTCCAGGATGCATACCACAGTACATACCTGATCTTAACAAACAAACGTGCATGGAGTGCCGGGTGGTTCCAATCGGCAGGTGGAAGGACTGGTGGTGGCCGTACACAACTCCAAGATGGGGGGGGGGGGGGGCATACCACATACATACCTATCGTAACAAACGAACGTGCCGGAGTTCAAGGTGGTTCCATCGCAGGGGAAGTACTGTTGGTGTCCGTACACAACTCCAGGATGCATACCCAGGACATACCGGATCTTAACAAACAAACGGCAGGGGTGCATGGGGTTCCTCGCATGTTGACGTACTGTGTTTCCGTACACAACTCATGATGCATACTCACAGTACATACCTGATCTAACAAACAAACGTGCAGGAGTGCAGGTGGTTCCACCACACGCATGTGGAAGTACTGTGGTTCCCGTACACACCTCCAGGATGCTACCACAGTACATACCTGAATCTTAACAAACAAACGTGCAGTGAGTGCAGGGTTGGTTCCTCGCAGGTGGAAGTAACTGTGGTGTCCGTACACAACTCCAGGATGCATACCACAAGGTACATAATACCTGATCGTAACAAACAAACGTGCGGGATGCAGGTGGTTCCAATGCAGTGGAAGTACTGTGGTGTCCGTACACACTTCCAGGATGCAACCCATACAATACCTGATCTAACAAAAAACGTGCAAGGATTGCGGGGTGTTCCTCGCATGTGGAGTAACTGTGGTGTCGTACCAACTCCAGGATGCATACCACAGTACAATACCTGATCTTAACAACAACCGTGCAGGATGCAGGTGGTTCCATCGCAGGTGGAAGTACTGTGGGCCCGTACACAACTCCAGGATGCCATACCACAGTACATACCTGAATCTTAACAAACAACGTGCAGGGAGTGCAGGGTTGGTTTCCATCGCATGGAAGTAATGTGGTGTCCGTACACAACTCCAGGATCTCCACAGTACTACCTGATCTTAAAACAAACAAACGTGCGGGAGTGCAGGTGGTTCCATCGCAGGTGGGAATACTTACTGTGGTGTCCGTACACAACTCCAGGATGCATACCACAGTACATACCTGATCTTAACAAACAAACGTGCAGGGAGTGCAGGGTGGTTCCATCGCAGGTGGAAGTACTGTGGTGTCCGTACACAACTCCAGGATGCATACCACAGTACATACCTGATCTTAACAAACAAACGTGCAGGGCGCATCGAAACCTAGCAATTGGAGACCCATCGTTGTAACGTGCAGGGAGTGCAGGGTGGTTCCATCGCAGGTGGAAGTACTGTGGTGTCCGTACACAACTCCAGGATGCATACCACAGTACATACCTGATCTTAACAAACGGAAGAGGAATGGTCAAAATTCCTGAAGCGGCCCCCATAGGCTTGGTAAAAATCTCAGAAGTCCGGTCTTCACAACAATGGGCCGGGGATTTAGATTTGATACATGATAATGATAAGTTTCTGTTGGTTTACAATCATGATGACTGCTGGATCTACGTCTTTTTTGGAACAACAGCCACCCTTGGCAAACACCCCCGCGCTCCTCTCGTAGTCGGCTTCTTTACCCAACAACTCATCCCGTTTTTGTCGCAGGCGCTTGTAGATGAGATCCTGAGAACATCCATGGGGAACATCGAAAACAAACAGATGTAATGTGTATACGCTTCTATAAACGTATACGTACATATAAAGCTTAGATATACAGTATATTTACATAGCCATTTGAAATTTATCATTAGACTTTAAATTGCCATATATATCTATATATATATATACATCTACATTTACATTTACACATACATGTACATTTCACTTTACACGTACATTTGCATTTACAATTACATTTACATTTTCATAATATATACATATATATATATTTACATTCGGGTGGGTGGATTTCTGCGCTCACAGAATGAGGGTTGTTTTTAACAAGGCATATGTCTCACCGCAGCGCCAAGGTGATTTGGCAATCTAATTTCCAGGTGATTTTGGGCGCCCAATCTCGGGGTCCCTTTTTCTTTCGCCTGGAAGTTGACAGGTCTTTGGCTTTGGGAAATGAATTTTATGAGGGATAAGAATGGATGGGAAGAAACTCTGACCTTTTCGGTCAGCCTAACATTTCCTGTGCATAACATTGCATAACTAGAATTATGTTAACGTGACACGGCCTATGCATGTAAAAACCATGTCGAGTAACAGTTCCTGTGCATGACTCGCATCATGTTCACGTGACATGGCGCAGGCATGTGAAAAGCATGGAGCGTAACAGTTCCTGTGCATGACTAGCATCATATTAACGTGAAATGGCCTAGGCATGTGAAGACGATGAATGTAGCGTAACAGTTCCTGTCCATGGCTCACAGCATGTTCACGTGAAATGACGTATGCATGTACGAACGATGTAGCACAATAGCAGGTGCACATGTCATAAGCATGTAGGATAACATGGATGAAAGCGGATCTGACGTTATTGCCCCCCCACTCCCACCCCAGATATGCTAACATGATGGACATCGTAAACGTGCAAAACGCTAGCGCAGTTTTCCCTGCGCTGGCATTCACATGTACATTAACGTACACATATACATTTACATGTACATTTACCTTTCCATGTACATTTACTTATTCATGTACATCTACATAACCATATGCAGGACATTTTTCTTTACATAGCCATATCTATGTACATGTACATGTACATGTACATGTACATATACATGTACATATGCTTTTCCAGTTACAATCACATATATCTTTGTGTACGATATTTGTATTTTGCAGGCATATAAATAAGTGTTTACATTCATTGACTTTAGTGACACTGTAAACATTTGATGTATAGTATAGAACGATTTGCCGAAACTGACAAAATCTGTCGTTTAATTTCGACTCTGAAATGCTCATGGCTTTGTGAAAAGTAGTCCCCCAATGTGGGAAGTACCAGTTGCAATCAACATACTCTTTTGATGCCTTGCAGATGTTGTTTTCCTCGACTTTAAGGAAAAAAAACTACACACCGACCAATGAGTTTACTATCAAATTTGTCCTGTAAATGTTCCCTTCATCCACTATTCCAGTGTAACTATGCCCAGCATCTCCCACCAGTTCCAACAAAAGTTGGAACTCCATAGAGCCATCCGGAATGCCTCGAAATGGAGGGGCTTGACCTGGACGGCGAATTCCCATGGAAATCTTCATGGTTGGAGGTAACCTATGTTGAGACAGAGCCATGTAAATTTACGATGGTGTAGGAAATTCAAACCCAGGGAAACGACAAAGTTTTGTCAGTGTTGGTTTTACCCACTATATGCTTGATCCCCTTCAACAGTTGACAACTTTCAGGCTCGCAGAGGTGGGATTCCATATGAGATGTGCTAAATCCAAGCTGCAAAAACTCAAGTTTCCAAATGGGTACTTCATGACATTTCAAATCACATAGAAGACAGGTGAAACTGCTGAAACTGCTGCCCATTTCCCCCACTTCCTCCTCACCTATGGCTGGTCCCCGCGAACGGTCCAGTCCAGGACAGGAATCGGACCTTACAACCGGCTTGTTGATCCTTGCTTTGGGGGGGCACGTATATATACATGTGTGTATGTATACATATATATAATATATATATATAGAGAGAGAGAGAGGGATAGATTAGACTAGACTAGACTACATTAGACTAGATTAGATTAAACTGGATAGATTAGATTAGATTAGATAGATAGTGAGATGAGATGAGATGAGATGAGATGAGATGAGATGACATAAGATAAGATGAGATGAGGCGAAGCGAGACGAGATGAGATCAGACGAGATCAGACGCGATCAGATAGATGAGACAGATGAGACAGATAGACAAATATACATACATTATCTAGGGGTCCCTGATTTTACAGGCACAAAATGGTGGGGTCCAGCCGCCCACTACCCCTGCCATCTCTATAAAATCAAAGTGCCAAGCCCCACGAAGGACTGCAAATAACTATCAAATCGAAAGAAAAAACAAGTCAATGCAATCAGGATGTGGTAGCAGCCCTAAAGTACAAGCGGTGCTTCTGGTTTTCTTGCAAACCCAGTTTTGACTACAGCACATATCCCAAACATCACCAAGGCATGATTCAGTATCCCATCCACGCTGCAGCATGATCAGCTTCAGCGTCATCAATCACGTGCAGTTGGTGCCGTTGCATGGGCAAGATCTGAGCACCCACGTTCACCAGGTAGACCTCCGGAGGAAAATGTCGGCGCTTCGAGAGCACATAGGCCGGCTTGTTCTTGAAACTTTGGAAGCCACTTCCTTCCAGGCCGTGTAGAATCACCAGCCTCGGGGTTGTGGGAAAGGAATCAGATTTGAAACCTCGTTGTCACTCATGTTAAGCTCAGACAAGTGAAACCTTAGTCCTATTAAAGTAGCACAAATTAAATTAATTATTACTATCCGAAGAACCCCCAAATTAAACTTGTGTACATCTTCTAATCTGGGCTTGACATTACAAGCAACTCAGTCCCCAGATTGGTCGCCTGGCAGAGATGTCTCGATTTAGACATGAGCAATAGAAATGTTTCTCCCAATAAAAGTTGGGGATGAGTCAAAACACCACAATACCATAGTTTGGAGGATGAACATCCATTTGTCAACTTTTTTGCTTTTCACCATTTTTCACCAGGGTATTTTCACAAGGAGTTTGACCCACACCCATTTCCAACGACTGGTGGTTTCACAAAAATGGATGCAACTGACGCATCTCCAAGCCTCGTCGGCCATAGGCAATTCGGCAATTCTGCTGTAAATCTTTCATGGGTAAAGTATGGTGATTTGCGCACCTGAAATTTTTGGAAACTTGAGAAGTTGATTCCAAATGATTCCCTCTACTCACCGACTCACCATTTCGTGAAAATTCTTGGGCCCAGCTTTGACAATGGATCCAATGATCCACTGGATCCCGTGGCGTTTGATGCCGAGCAGAATTGAGCAATGTCAAAACCCTATTGGACAATCGCGAAAACATTGTTGGGGAAGATAAGCTGATAAAACAATTCTCACTTTGTTTATCATGACCCCCCAATTGACGGGGAAGCATAGCCCCTGTTTAACCTCGCCGAAGGGCTGGTTCTCCAGCGCTTGCACTGCAGCTTTTCTTCCCAGCATCGGTGCCCAGCGGCTACGGTGATGCACCAGGTGCAGGTGCATCCACAGCTCTGAGCTGCGCGGAGTGAAGCACAAGGCCAAGGAATCGAGGTGCGACACCTCGCTCACACAATCGAAGCTGTGATGGAAAAAATATCTCTGTTTATAATGCACGATCATATGAGAGGTGAGGTGAACGAAATCATGTGGGATCCACGGTGTTTGCCAGCTGCTTTAACTATACCCAACAGTAAGACACAAAATTCAGGATGGTCTATTGTTGTAGATCCCATATTAGAGGTCCTTTGTGGCCGCTCATAGCTTTTCTGCCAGCAGGTTCAAAGTCGTCATATGATTTGGTCCGATAACGCCAAGAATTCCATTCCTCAGAGAAGGCCTCGTTGGATATTGATATAAGTGGTAAGTGATATATTGAAAATGACCATTTATAGTGGATTTTCCCATTAAAAATGGTGATTTTCAATAGCTATGTTAAATTACCAGAGGGTAGAACCATATAAGTGGTAAGAGTTAGAACCAGGACACTTGGGTCGTTTTTGAAGATTCCTTTCGAACATGTTGCACATCTGCAACCTGCATCTCTCCACATGTCATCTGCATCTACCAACTCAACGGCCGAGGCAGCCCATGGTGCTAATCCCAGCAGAAACCCTGGTTTGGCGGGTTTTGGGCGTTGACCATTCAAAATCCTAACATCCAAACCTCAGGTCAGTCAATCATTTGACCAAAAAATATGGCGTCATAGATTTTGACCCTAACTCATAGACTCATAGCCCATAAATGTGCTATTCCTAGGGGGCTGGTACGTGTACCGAATCATCTTCAGTTGCCGCCCAAAAATCCCAGGGGCAGTGATTTTGGCTCGAAAGCACGTGGCCAGAACCTGCAGGTCAATGTAGTCCATGGGGACCCTCACCACATAATTCGGGAGATTCTCCTGCTCGAATTGCCAGCTCTCAAATGTCAAGCAGTACAAATACCTCAGTCACGGCATGGTTCAAGAGCCTGACTTCGAAAAACCCCAAAGCAATGCGTTTTCATCACTGATGATTCATCACTGATCACAGAATGGTTCTAATCATGCATGATGTGGCCATTTTCTCGGAAGCACTAAGGCAGGGCTGATGAGTGTCAGCACAAGAACCCTTGTAACTGGATATCGCAAAGAGCTCCAATTCTAGCTGAACGTTGGCGGCCGATGTTTCCCTGAACACTTCCCAGGTCCGTATACTGAGTCGCAGCTCAAGCAACTTTGAAATGTTCCATTAGCTCTGTCTGAACTGCTGGGGGCCTCTTCAATCAGTAACTTGAGTTGCTTAGGAAGTGGATATACGTCAAACATCCCCCACACTCAGCATTGACTTCTCAAATTTCAAGCTGCCAATTCCAATGCCTCCTGATTTCCTCCACATCCCGGAACTGGGTCATGTGGAAGAATGAAGTCTCTTGCTTGTGCTTCTCACACAACAAAGCGTCCAGCGCTGGACCAGTCAACTTCCTGTAGCTTTCAATCAAGGTCGATCGGATCTGTTTCTCCTCTACTTCTTTCATGGCCTCTGAGATTCCTCAGAAGCCATTCACGGGCCACAGCCATAAACACGGCCGGGTAAAATGAAATACGTGAGAAATGGCCCGTTTTTATGCTAGCCCCCCCCAAAAAAACTACCTTTGGCTACCTTGCAGCCAGTAACTTGCATTTGAAACATTGTGCTGCATTCCTTTGAACAAAAATGTTCTTGAAAGGAAAATGTTGCTTACAGGTTACAATCTGCCTTGAAGACAAGCTATTCCACTAAATAAGAAACAAAAAAATTACAAGAAAACTACAATGTGTGGAAAGATGCAATACGTCCATTGATGAAGTTCAGCCTTCCTCTCATTTTTCTTCTATGACCTTTTGTATTGGAAAGATTCCACTTCTTCAATTTTGGTTTTACCTTGAAGACAAGGTATTCCTTTAAGTATGAAGCAGTATTTTTGCAGAAAAATACAATATGTGGAAAGATGCATAATGTCCTTTAATGCAGTTCAGTTTCCCTCTCATTTTTCTGTATGACGAGTCTTTAAGGAAAGACTTCACTTCTTCAAAATAATGTTGCCTGTTTGTTCAGATGTTTCATTCATATGAAGAGGGCACATTGCACACATAAAACCATGACCTGTCTCTTTCAACAAATACTATACATACACCCAAGGGTTCTACTTCATAGTACTGTTTGTTTGTATTATTGCATGCTCCTTTTCTATGCCATGCAATATACCTTTGGTACCTTTAAACACAATTTTATTGGCCATGTTCTTGCCTTTGATATACGTACCCTTTAGGATACCTTTAATATGCCGTTGATATACATTTAAATGCCATCTAATACACCTGTAATTTGCCTTCGATGTATGTACATTTACACCACAACAGAAGCAAACCGCAGCACCAAAGGATGTTGGACCAGGATTCTGCTGTCACCCTGGGCCGAGATTCCCAAAGCCAAGCTTTTGAATGGACAGGTGACATTTTCTGCCACCTCGCGATTGTGGACGCTCGAAATCCAGTTTTTCAGGTATTCAAATTGAAGCTCCTCCTGGGTAGATTTATCTGTATCTCCCAAATGCAGAGACATCGCAGAGTGCTCTCAAGGGCGCGATTCCAGCATTGCACCAGGCATGCGGTAAAATTCAAACTCCGACAGCGCCGTGACTCTTTGTTTGAGGGAAGCTCAGACCAATGGACCAAAGGTTGACATTTGGGTGTCTAGGTGTGATGGCTGTTCTCCGGATAGAGCTAGGTTGCCCCCATGACTTTTATTGAAACCATAGAAACCTCAACTCAAATTATGCCCCAATTTGAAGGTGATCGAAAGCCGATCAGAGATAGAACTTCGATGGATGGACAGCTTCCAAAATCACCCAAGACTATCTTCAGAATTCTCCAGATACTTCCTTTTCATTGGGTTTCAGGAGTTTTTTGCAGGAAACCCCTGTTTTTACCACTACAAACACACGTTGGGCCATTCCCACGGCTTGAGCCAGCGATGAGGATCCAATGTATACAGAAAGATGACAGGCACATCGGGTGGAAAATACCCTGTGTATTCCCTTTCTGCACAGTACCAAAATTCTCCGATCATTGCAAATACACATCGAGAGCCAGCACGACACTTCAAAAAAGACTGACAATTTCTACCATCCAGCGGTAAAACTGCTAATGTATATACATACATATATATATATATATTATATATAATATAGATTATATTATATATATACGCATATATCGTTTGGAACTTCCCGGCGAACTCCAAGAAACCTCTGCGCCTTCCGACAACTGCAGATTTTTCAGGTCGAAGAAGGTCACTTCCGATTTCTCCAGGCAGGTGGCGGTGCCCAGTCGCGTATCTACGGCAGGGGTGGCAACACTTTCCGCGGGCGACTCACTCGGTTTAACCGGTTTCTGTACTCAAAACAGCCCACAAAACAAAAAGACTTCTGGGTCAAACCCCGGAGAGTGAAACTGAATGGATCCCTTCATTCCAGGTGCCATTGGTTTTGAACCAATCCCAAATGATATTCGCTTGACGGTGTGGGTTTTGATTTGATACATCCAAACAATCTACATCGACGTATGTATCCCGTCCAATCACGCTTTTTCTGAGGCAAAGCGGACAATCTGGTGAGGCCATATATCATCATATATCTTCATTGTTCATGATGCTACATTGCAACACTGTGGGCAATTGGGAGTTGATTGGGGTGAAGCAATCCCGCTGAGTAGCTGCCCCATGCTGCCCCCATCATGGCAGCCGGCACCTGGATTGAAGCTTTTCACCTTACCCTGCACTCTCTGCAAGGCTTGAGTCTTCCCCTGCCGGCGGCTCAGCCAAGCTTTTGGATGTTTCAGTGCGGTTGATTTTGGCCGATCCACCATCAGAAAGTTTCACGTTCCGCGCGCCTTTCCACTTTTGCCCTTTCCTGCCTGGACAGTCCCGAGCTCAATGGAATGAGAAAAATTGGGCTTTTCTAAAATGGTGGTACCCCAAAACCATGGGTTTCAACACTAAATTGGTCTAATTCTGGCTGATTGGGGGCACCCCCTATTTTAGGACACATCCAAATGTCACAGGCATGGCTTTGCTGATTCCCAAACGGAACACGGAGCCTGCCCAGGGATTGGCACCATCTCGGTCGCCTGGCCCCGCATTGGCACTGATCGGGAGGATGCAGGACTTGAAAATCGGCCCCAACCATCCCCAACCCTCCATGGCTACCTTGCCATTTTCATCCATTTTCCATATGAAATGTCCCAAAAGTGACCTGTTAGGCCCGTTGGGCGCCTTGACCTTGCCATCCGCCAGTTCGTGGATGTGGCATTTCACCATTCTGCCTCAGCAAAGGGATCAGGATGATCAGAACCAAAAAAACGTTCTTTCCAACACCTCAATATATCGGTTCATAACGTCTAGCCACCAAGGGAAAAACAAATACTGTTCTACCAACTTTTATCTTCAGACTGCTACGTGACATTACATGACTCCTGAATATTGACATAGGTTTGCAACTGGTTGAAGTTGAAACGACTTGTACAATGTTGCTACTAGCTAGCTAGCGTTAGCCGATGCATTAACCAAAACGATGATTGCTGGCCAAATTCCTATCAAAAATTATCGTTTCAGAATGGGCCCAAAAGATTCTTGGAAATATCAATTTATCGCATGACGGATGAGTGTGTGTAATATACACATATGACGGATGAACATATATGCATACACATATGGTGGCCTTTTAAAGGGTCCCCCAAACCATCGGTTTCAACACAAAAAAGGAACCCCATGTTGAATTATTTGATGCTACCTATGTCTTTCTGAGAACCCCCAAGGTGGTAGATAAAGTGATGTTTCTGGAACATCAGGTTTTTAGAACATATGCTGCTATCATATCCTAGATAAATCCACCAAAATACCATATGTATCCATATGTGCCATGGTCAACACATGGAGTAGTTTCCCATCACAGGGGTGGGTCAATCCATTACGGGTTCATATGCCCATTCATCGGCGAATCGTGGCATGACCAGGTACAGTATAGCACAAATAAAATCACATAAAATCATCGAAAATCATACAAAATCAATGTTAAAAACATATGATCAAAAGATCCTCTAAGATCATATAACATCTGAATCTATGTGTTTTTTCCATCGTTTTTCCATCCTTTTTCCATCATCCCCTCCCCCCCATTCCCGTGACGCCGTTGCACCCACCAGAGCGGAGCCCAACGCTGCCAGCTCCGGCGCCAAGTCGGAGCCCCGGAACTGCGCATCGCGCTCGCCGTTCCTGGCTTTGTCTCGGATGGGGATGGTTTTCTCTCCGGATTTCATAGGAAATTCTTCAGGTGATCATAGGAATTTCATGGGAATATCGGAATATTTCATAATTTCAGATATCAGTTATGATATGACATGATATATGTTCATGGCCTTAGTTTGATTGGTTGGACTGTACAAATAATGGGGAGTTTTCATGGAATATGAATCTGAATGGAAACCCATTAAGATGTTCAATGATGTTCGTGGGATGCCAGAGACATAGATCAGTCTCCCCTTCTACGCAGGTCATTGTTGTGCCCTTCTGGATTCCATTATGAGTGGAGACGCGAAAGCAATAGAAACAAAGTTTTTCTCTATGGGTGACATAGGTACAATATGCTTTCAAACATTAAGCCTCCAAATCTTCCAATTTCGCAATATCATATTTTCAAAAAACAAGGTGGGCCAGAGAACCCAAAAGCAAGACGGCACACAGCACGATTTTTTTGAAAATCTTGTGGTGTGTGCTCTGCACGAAATCGACGTAAGATCTTTACTGAAACATCGTGCGCGCTGATGGTATCAGGGGCCGCAATTCACCACAGCATGCTGTGTCAGCTAAGTCTACATTCTTCTAGTCGCTATTTCTGCTAATGTAATTAACTCTATCCCATCTTTTTAGCCGCTATAATTCCTGCGTTCTCGTTTAGTTTGCTTCGCTGCAGAGGGAGCGAGGACGAAGCGTCGACGGACAGAACACCGTGCAAAATGAAAACTAAACGGCGGAGGGAGCTGACCAAAAGAGCATGAAAACGAAGATATGAAGGTGATAGGTGGTGAATGATAGTGAAAAATGAGACATGATGAAAAATGGGTAAAGACTTCTCTGTACAAAAGATTCTTTGCATAAACGCTTCTGTATGTAAAAGCTCCTCTGTGTTAAGATTTTGTTTGTGTAAAACTTCTGTGTGCAAAAGCTTGTCTGTGTAAAAGACTTCTCTGTGTCAAAGCCTCTGAGTGTACAAGCTTCTCTGTGTAAAAGTTCCTCTGGGTAAAAGCTCCTCGGTGAAAAAGCTGGTCTGTGTAAAAGGCTTCTCTGTGTAAAAGCCTCTGTGTGTGTGTGCAAGCTTCTCTGTGTCAAGATTTCTTTGTGTAAAGATTTCTCTGCGTAAAAACTACTCTGTGTAAACGCTTCTGTGTGAAAAAGCTTTCCTGTGTAAACGCCTCCGTGCGTAAAGACTCCTCTGTGTAAACCTGTCTGTGTGTAAAAGCTCCATTGTGTAAAGGCTTGTGTAAAAGCTTCTGTGTGTACAAGTTTCTGTGTGTAAAAGTTTCTGTGTGTAAAGCTTCTGTGTGTAAAGGTTTCTGTGTGTAAAAGCTTCTGTGTATTTAAAAAACCCTATGTAAAAGCTTCTGTGTAAAAAAGCTCCCCTTTGTCCTGTGTGTACAAGCTTCGCTGCGTAAAAGCTGCTCTATGTATATAAAAGTTCTGCGCGCCGTAAAGTCTTCTGTTTGTATAAAACCTCCTGTGTGTGAACGCGTCTGTGTGTACAAGATTCTGTGTGCAAAAGCCGTGCTGTCTCGGTCCCTCCCACCGAAGATCTCCCCAAGCTATTTTTACGCTTTCCTCCCAGCAAAGCTCTCCCCAAACTATTTCCACGGTTTCCCCTCCGTCCAGCATGCTGTCTCGCTCCCTCCCGGCGAAGCTTTCCGCAAGCTATTTGCACTGTTCCCTCTCCGTCCCGCATGCTGGCTCGCTTCCTCCCAGCAAAGCTCCCCGCAAGCTATTTCCAACGTTTCCTGTCCGTCCAGCATGTCTCGCTCCCTGCCAGCGAAGCTCTCCACACGCTATTTGCACGTTATTTCCTCTCCGTCCAGCATGCTGTCGCGCTCCTTCCCAGCGAAGCTCAATGCAAGCTATTGCCACTGTTTTGTGTCCCGTCCAGCATGCTGTCTCGCTCCCTCCCAGCGAAGTTTCCCCAAGCTATTTCCACGGCTTCATCCCGTCCAGCATCCGGTCTCGCTCCCTCCCAGCGAAGTTTCCCCAAGCTATTTCCACTGCTTCATCCCGTCGAGCATCCGGTCTCGCTCCCTCCCAGCGAAGTTTCCCCAAGCTATTTCCAACGGCTTCATCCCGTCGAGCATCCGGTCTCGCTCCCTCCCAGCGAAGTTTCCCCAAGCTATTTCCACGGCTTCATCCCGTCCAGCATCCGGTCTCGCTCCCTCCCAGCGAAGTTTCCCCAAGCTATTTTCCACGGTTTCCCGTCCAGCATACTGTCTCGCTCCCTCCCAGCGAAGTTTCCCCAAGCTATTTCCACGACTTCATCCCGTCCAGCATCGGTCTCGCTCCCTCCCAGCGAAGTTTCCCCAAGCTATTTCCACGGCTTCATCCCGTCCAGCATCCGGCCTCGCTCCCTCCCAGCGAAGTTTCCCCAAGCGATTTCCACGGCTTCATCCCGTCCAGCATCCGGTCTCGCTCCCTCCCAGCGAAGTTTCCCCAAGCTATTTCCACGGCTTCATCCCGTCCAGCATCCAGTCTCGCTCCCTCCCAGCGAAGTTTCCCCAAGCTATTTCCACGGCTTCATCCCGTCCAGCATCCGGTCTCGCTCCCTCCCAGCGAAGTTTCCCCAAGCTATTTCCACGGTTTTGTCCCGTCCAGCATCCGGTCTCGCTCCCTCCCAGCGCA